AGACACCACATATATATGCCTTGATTTAAATAAAACAAATGTAGCTATTTTTCAAATTCAACCAAGACACGAAAGGTCATTAGCAAGATTTATCCTCTGCCCATCACAGAACATCAGTCATTTTGGGAAGCACACTAACTAACCTTTTTTTGGATTAAAGCAGGTTTTCATTGCTTTGACAGGCTTGATGTTCCAATTGGTGGTGGCATCTTTGAGATGCACACACATGAAAGAAAACTGTCTTCACAAATGACTGTTTCATGACCTCTCCAGAGGAAAATCCTGTGAAATTGATATACCTGCAAGTTTTCCCTCAGTATTAGTCAGTCTTTAATTGAATGTACATTTTTAAAAGATGGCACCGTTTTTGTTCTTTCTTTTTGCTCTTTTTCTCAGCGATCACTGCACACAAAACACAGTGAAATGGATCTGCAGCCACACATTTCTCCAAACAGTATACTCACTGAGCACACTAACACTGTGGCAGCTCTCCCTTCTTTACCTTGATTTAAGCAGAAAGAAAACCTCACCATCCTCTCTGGTGCAAATCTGACAGATCTATGATTATTCACTGACATTTCTTCTTAAGTGGTTACCTGACTATTTAGCATACATAAACTGAAAATGGTGTGAATTAACATGATCTGGTTTAGGTAGCATTCACAGAAACTGAATATAGATTCTGTAATCTCCTAATTTCCAAGTACCTTCATAAATTTACACTGCGATTATATTCTGAATGTTCCTTAACGCATTAAGAGTCACTGAAAAAATGCAGTCCTTCGGGGTGTGGAATAAATTGGCCATCAATACCACACAGCCATCTCTTTCCTAGGGAATCCTTAATGAAATACTCTGTACACAACACAGCTCAGAAGCTGTTGTGCTGGAGCTAATACAACAGTAACAGCAAGCTCTTCCTTTTATAAAGTTTTATTGGCCTAAACATAGCTCTTTAAGGAATGGGGTGTCAAGGCTGCCAGCAGAACAAGCAAAAGATAAGGCAGACTTTAGAGTGCTACCCCCTTGGTGTAAGGCAAGGCCTAACACTGAGCATCTCTCAGAAAGAATGAAGACTCAAATCAGAGACAAACATTGGAAAAGGCACCAAACCAAAAAGGAAAGTCTGCCTGACCTGAGGCACTGCCCGAGGAAACAACTGCTGTTGGAGCTGAGGGCTAAGAAAGAAAAGCAACAAGCTCTAGAGCCACATTTCCAGTTTATGCCATCACAGACTTAAGCTTGATAAAATAACAAATAATCTCATGCCCATTTTGGAATGAAGCACTTCTTTTACTTGACCTACAATGACCTGTCCAGGAATTTCACCTCCTTACAGAGGAGTCATCCTCAGGAGGAGGTCTAAAAGGTTAGGAAGAGCTCTCACCACCAGTTCAAAACCCATGGCTTTTCTACAGCAACAGGCAAAGTAGTGCCTCTGGCTACTATAAATAAGATGACAATAACCTGGCAGTGTTCATAACGAGAGAAGAGATGTCTAAAATAGCACCCCTTACTTTTCACTCCCAAACTATGCAACTGGACAGAGATTTTACAGAACATAAGGAAAAAGGGAGACTGACGAGACCCGGTGTGACCTGCACTGGTGGACACAAGACAACTCCATCATACCCATGCACACAGCCACGTCATCCCCAGGGCAGTCAGCTGTCTGTGCCAACAAGGAGCAAAAAAATATATAACTGCAGTACTGTCTCATGCTGAAGGGTGAAAAAGGCCATTAACACAAGACTGCTCTCACATTTTTTCATCTCCTTGAATAGAAGTTATATTTTAGCCATGGTTATTTATATTGTGAGCATTTAACCACAAAAAGTCTCCTCACCTTCACAACCTTTGGTTACTCCCAAAATGGAATTGCAATAAATCAAATTGCAGCCATTCACAGCTTAAAAGTCAGCCTTGTTTTCTGAAGCTTACAGAACCAGCAGCACTTACTGCATTCTTCCAGGCATTGCGAACAACTGAACTTGAAATTAGCAAAACTCAAAAATATGACCACAACACTCTGAATGCTCACAATTCCACAGGTCCAGTTAACCACTACTGATTACATGTGAGGAATTCACAGTTGAAGAATTTGCACAACATGACTTCATATAAAGCTTTCTGAGCACTTAACGGTGAGGACGCAACGTTACAGAAGGTGGATCTAACTGGACATAAAGATGTTTGGCTTTCTTTTGTTGATGTTTATGTTTATCCACCAAGGCTGTTTGTGTCCACTCTAACACCACAAGTACCAGCATGGTTCTGTGCAAGTAAGAATGGCCTAACAAATAATGTTTTGATAACTAGCCCGTTTTATAGGTACAGTGATTCACTGGTTAAGTAAACAACATAGTTATTTAGCAAAACATCAATTTATATTAGAGAGCCTAAAACAACCTTTCTGTTCTCCTACAGAAAAACAGTATTAAATGCCTCATACGGATAGAATAACATCAAAGAAAAATATTCCATTCACTGTGGAAGAAATAATTTTAAGTAACTTTTTAAAAATCAACCTTATAACTTCAAAAAAGAAAAAACCAGTATTATTTTCATTATGAAAAGTTTACTTCACATGAAACACCCAGATCGAGGCAGAATGAGAGTTTAAATATAAGTATAAAATTCAAAACACTTGATTTTTCTTATTTATGACCTTTGAAATATACATCTTGACCAAATGAAGGTATTTTCCACCACAGAGCTTATTTCAACCACTTCTTGTTATATTCAACTTCATACCTCTACCAAGCTACATTTATAGCTCCAGTTGCTCTAAAAAAATACATACACTGGTGCTTTTAAAGACTTTCTATACTTTCACTAGAAGGGAAATTCTTCAAGGCTGTTAAGTTTAACATCTGCAAGGAAAGGGGGTTTGCATCTCACATTTGTTTTTCCTGCTTGACAGTACGTTACTCCATTTCCTACGGCATCCCTCAGAGAATTACTCCATTTCCAGGGCATCCCTCAGAGAATTCTCCATAAAAAAATAAAGATTTAATTTAAAAAGACTTTAAATTCCATTTCGCATTTATTTGCTTCTTCTTCAATGAACACTCAGTATCTCCTCACACTTTTCCCCTATCAATCACTGCGTGCTTCTCAGATGTAAGTAGACATAAAAAGGGCAGCCATGTAGTCGTTTGAGCTTTACAAATGTTAGCAATGCTTTAAATATCAAACAGGTGAACTGTTTTAACTGTACTACACCACACCAGTGCACAATTGAGCAACAACTATTAAAATAACCCCCTGTCCTCCCTGCGAACCCTTTACTGTGAAAATTACTGTCCCTCTTTGTCCTTGGACTTGGACATCAGTTCTTGGCAAGGTAGCTGCTAGGGTTTAGCTTGCCTGTCGCCTTGGAGCCCTGCAGCTGCAGGCACTCCGCTTGTTTACGTTTCCCCTTCACTAGTTCCTCTTTAAATTCTCCAGGAGGCAGCTAGAAAACGGACTAAACCGGCAACACACAAAATAAACCACTCAAGCTACATCCATCTTCCAGCCCTGAGACGCCGGATGCGTGCTCCCTATCGCGGGCAGCAGTAGGTAAACACGAGGTGCCGGCAGGTGAGGGAGAGCCGTGAGGTGACAGGAGCGCGGCGAGGAGCAGCGCGGCACGTCCCGTCACAGCGGGATGGCAGGATTTCCCAACGCCGTTTTCCACGGGAGCCGGGAGAGCCGGCAAACGGCGGGCGACGGCAGGGCCGAGGGCTGCGAGGCGGCGGGAGGGTCTGAGGTACCAGCGCCCGCCGGGTGCCTCGGCCCGTCACCTCCCTCCCCAGGAAGGCACCGGCGAGCGCTGCCAAGGCGTGGAGGCGGCCGGGAAAGGGAAGATCCTGCCCGCGGCCGGGAAAGGGAAGATCCTGCCCGCGGCTGCTGCCCAGGCCCCACGGCTGAGGCAGGGGGGAGAAATAAATAAATAAGGGGAGGGGAGGAAGGGGGCGGGGAAGGAGCCTGAGGTGGAGGAAAGGCGCAAGTGCCTCCGCGCCGGGTTTGTCATGGTGGTGCGAGGAGCCGCCTCACGCCGCCCGCTGACAGCGGCAGAGCGGGGCCCCCTCTCCGCCCCACCGCGGCTCGCTCCGCACATCCCCCCCTCCTCCCCACCCCACCACCACCACCACCACCACCACCACCACCACCACCACCACCACCACCACCACCCCCCCCCGCTCCCTCACCCCTTCGCAGGGCCTCGTCGTAGCTGAGGAAGCCGATGCGGGACTCCTTGGCGCCCATGGTGCCCCTCAGTCCATGGCCTCCCCGCCGGCCGCTCGGCGCCGCGGACCCGGGCTGCGCCGCTACCGCCTCGGGAGCGCAGGGCGCGGGCGGGGGGGGGCGGGGCGGGCCGGCGGGAGGAGGTGGCCGCGCGCCCTCCCCGCCGCCGCCTCCTCTTCCATGGCGGGTCACGTGAGGAGGAGCGAGCCCGCCCGCCCGCCCTCTACGGGCCGCCGCGTCACGTGACGGGGGAGGGCTGTTATGGCTTCCCCTCCCTCGGCACCACCTGACCTGCCTCCCCCCCTCCCCTCGCCGCCACAGGGCAGCGCCCGCGTCACGTGACGCGGCGGCACCCGCCTCCCCCTAGCGGCCCGCCTAGCTGCTTTACCTCAGCGGCGGCGGCGGCACTTGGCGGCCCCTGTCCCCGTAAGGGTGTGCGGGCACCCCGGGGGCCGCCGTTTGGCCTGGTAACGGGCAGCGGAAGAGGCCGGCTGGGGCTGGCATCTCGGGCCCTGTCTGAGGGCCGTGCCGCACGGGGTACAGAGCGGGAGGGCCTGTGGGGATGAGCGCTCCCCACTTCACGGTTTGGCGCTTGCGGAGCGGGCCGCGCTCCGCGGGTGCGCACACACGCACCGGGGGAAAGGCGCAGCGGAGCCCCGGGGGAAAGGGCCGGTCTGACTATGGCAGAACCAGGGTCGCGGGTCTCTTGTGTGTGCTTCGGGACTTAGCCCTGTCTCGTACCTCACAGGCGACCGCGGCTCTCCTCGAGGAGTGCCTTGAGGAGAAGTACTATAAGCGCGGGGTGACGGTAGGGAGTTCCTGTCCCACTAAAAATGGCTTTTCTGAAACAGAAACACGGACTGAGCTGTAAAAGGATCAAAAATACCCCTGTCCTCTGCTGTTCTGAAGCATATTTGCTTTTAGTGTTCACATGCAACGAGAGGGTTTCTCAGCTGGCTTTGTTACATTAAGCCTGGTGACATACCCTGGGTCCCTCCCTAGCAGAAAAGAAAGAGTTTGAAAGAAAACACTGATTCCTAAGGGCAGCTCGTTCCAAGGTTAGTTCCTGCACAGAAACAAAGCCTATGAAAACACCAGTTGCGAGTCATTCCCTAAGTTCTGGTTTCCCTACTGAATGATCTTAGAGCTGGAGGAAGGTCAGGCCCAAGTTACTTTCTCGCTGATGTAAGTTCACACGTAGGTATTTTTATAGCAAACATTCCAAACAAATTTCATCGCTGATATGCAAAACCAGGAATGCTGCTTACGGAGAAGCTTAGCTTGAAGGCCACATTTCTCCTCATGCAACGTTACTTGAGTGCAAAGATGCTACGAATGAATTAGCTCCTAGAGTGTCTTTACATTGTTTGAAATGTTGGAAACATACTTTACCCACCAGCCACTTGTTACATATTTATGTCTTAAAGAGAATTCAAGTTCCTTTATATCCTCTTACTACTGTGCTACCATTGCATGCCTCTTCTCCATATAGTCCCTCACCCAAGCAGCTTTTGATATAATGTAAACTCTTCAAAATATTCGAATGAATTCAACAGAATTGGCAGTATCAGTCAAAATCATAAGTTGGCAGTATTAGAAACAGCCAGAGAAGTCAGTTTTATCTTGTGATTCAATGAAGTATTCCAACCCCTAATGATAGCATTCCTTGTGACATGCTCCATTTGTGATGGATCCATTTTTTAAAGTGTTAATTTGCAGCTGAGGAGACATGGTTTAATCCCCAACTTCCCTGTGGTATTGATGTGTCACCTTATGTCTAGTGGTAACCGTTTTGGCTCCTCTGAATTACAGAGATAACGATACATGGAGAGTCCTGTTTTGCTTGGGATAGGCTGCACGGGGATGCAGTCACACACCCAAACTGTCAGAGCAGTTACAGAAAGCAACTAGAGCAGGAAGCAAACACCATGGTGTTGTAAGACAACTTCACACCAATTTCTTCTCATTTTCACACTGATTTCTCCATGACTACGTATCCTTGCCTCACCTCCCTCAAGCCTCTTACTTTCAGTAAGTTATGTTATTAAAGAGCAACAGCAAAGTAGCAAGGCTCACTGTAAAACTGCCGTAACACTCCCAGGCCTGTTTCATCTAGAGACACAGGAGCAAAGGAACCTGCTGGGACAACAGTTCCCATCCAGTGCTATCGCAGCCACTGCGGTTTAGCTGCCGTCGTGCATCCATCCAATTCGGTATTGCAGCATGGATGAATTACCAATACCCCTTTCTGTATATTTACAGAACCAATTCTGTTTCTTTTCAGCTTAAAAAAAAAGATAAACCCTCAACAAATTAAGCTGTAATTGCCCCCCTCTGAAGTACATCATCCCACCGGTTCTTACCAGACTCCGTCTGTGCTGCTTTGAGATCACTGTTTCAAGACTTTTATTCTATTTTCACAAGGCCTCACCAGCGTTTCGCAAAACATTCCATTTTTATCTGTTTTGTCTTGACAGAATCTCTACTTGTAGCACACAGAACTGTTCACTGGAGATTATTAAGCAGAACAGGGGCTTTAATGACAACTGGTTCACTTGCTAAATCATGAAAAAAAATGTCTAAAATTATAATTACAAGTCAGATCCTGCCACCAGCTTCAAGTATAGTCACAAATGGCTGACTTGGTATTTGATGCAAATGAGGAAGCAGAATTCTCTAGTGAGGAGTTCTTCTAGAGGAAGGAAAATGGATTGGAATGATGGTTAATAATGATGGTTAACACTTCATATTTTAAAAACCACACTCTTTCCAAACTGGTTAAAAATACGTATTGCATTCAGGCTTGCTGCTTTTCACAGCTAAGTTGTTTAGACTTACACTGCATTTTTGTGACATTTAAAAAAAATCCAAACTAAAGTGACATCTCTCTTATGTCCCAGAGATACAAATGATGTCTAACAAGCAGTAGAATTTTGTTTGAAGAGTGCTTTAAAATAATTTACTTGGTCCATTGTATGTACCATGGCTTGCACCAAATTTAATAACACACATATTCTAGATTGGAAAATCAGACTGGAGTCTTATGATGGCAATGTCTTTGTTCAGATTAAATTAAGCATGTTCTCAAAGGCATTGAAGCAGGAACCTAGAGATAAGACTTTTTATGCTAACTGTGGATTAGATCTGGCAGTAAGTTTTTAATGAAGCCTTGTTGGGGAGCATAAGATAATAGATGTTGCTACTATTTAAATGTTATGTCAAAGGTAAATCAAATTAAGATACAGTGAATTTAGACTTGTATTAGATGAATGGAGCTCCCGTCTTCTGGCAGAAGAGTGCTCTATATGCAAATCTAACTGGCCACGTGCCCTTTTGATTGCTGGTATTTATTTAATTAATCACTAATCACAAATTAATTCATAAGCACTTAGCGAACATCTTTAAGTGTCTTTGCATCATTGTCAAGTATCTGTAGAAAAACAGATGTTTACTGCTGCACAGAAGCTGCAGGAGGCTTGCAGCAATGTGGCAATCAAAAACAATTCTTAAGAGAGCAGTGTAAGTCCCTAGGATTTCCTGATTTTAAAGTAACGAAAAACAAAAGCCAAAAATGCAAGTTCTAGGCCCTGCTTTGTTATTTTCTCTAAATCTCTGCCTCTCTTTCCCCAGTATCTGTATCCTGCCCCGGGATATCATTAATTTTTTAGGGATCAGTTGATTTTTGCAAACTACTTCGGAATACATAAATATATGATGCTATTCTATGTAAACGCTACACTCTGTTCTCCAGAATAGTGGCAGTCTTTATGCTGAGTATGATATTAGAAAAAAAAAAAAAACAAAACCCATGAGGCTACTCTTTAATATTAGTACTTACTTAAAACAAGATTAGGAAGTAGGGCTGAAGGGGATTTTCAGTGCAAGGATGAAAAAGCATCCAGAGAGCTAAAACTAAAGCTGAGACGTCCATAAGTGGTGTGTAGAAACTGATGGCCCAAGAAACAATACAAAATGGCACAAGGGAATGAGGAATTGGTAGAATAAGAGGAAAACTCATGTGAAAGGCCAAGGCCAAATAGAGCTGAAGGGGTCTCAAATTTTGTGCTTCCACAGAACGTGCCCATAGCACTAAAGATTCTCTGACTCTCCATATCTCGTGAGTATTTCCCTATAATTATTACTTAGTTGTAATATTTTTGTAAAGTAGCTTCATATTATTATTAGGGATTATTTACAAGAAGGAGAAATCTGCTAAAACATGCTGTGGGATGGGTCATCCTTAGGAATTTATGTATCAGGAACGCAGTAAAGGAGTTTTGGGTTTTATTATTTTAGCAAGTGAGCTTCCGGCCATCAAAATAAAATCTGTGAATACATGAGCATGTAAAAACTCAAACAATCATTTAGGGCTTAAATTTGTTACAGGTCAAAGGTCAGCACTTCAGTCCACCCTCTATTTAAGAAACCCATCCTTTTCTGTCCTGGGCTGCTCCGAGCAACTGGAGGCAGGGAAGGGAAGTCCATTCCAGGTATTTAAACGTGATCGGGTTTTTTTGTTCTCTTGGGGTTTTTAAGGAAAACCCCCAAACCTGAAGAAAATCATGGTCCCACTCTGCAAGCACGTAGAAAACTTTGTTTTCTGAAATGGTCACAGAGCAGAAACATAAGAGCAGAATTTATTATCACGTGTAATGAATGGATTCTGGCCAGGCAAGTCCTACTCACTACACTAGGATTTGTTCTTTTAAGACATTTAAGTGCTTTTGAAATGTGTATCCCAGCTCTCCAGCACAGACACAACTGAGAGAGCTATCTTCACCCCTCAGTCTCGAAGGAGACTTGGTACAGGACTGGAAGAACTGATTATCATCTGTAATTTGCATTTCTCGTCACCAGTGAGGATTTGAGACACACTGTGCCAGGCACTGTGCAAACATGAGGCAACTTCACTCCTCCTTGCTTCCCAGACAGTGCTGAATGGAGCGCAGCAGAGCACACCTCAAACGTTTGAAAAGAGCAGAAGGTGGGAGGGAGATGAAGGTGCAGTTAAGGGTATTCGGTCACTGCAGGCCTGCAGTGTTCATAGCAAAATGGTTTCGTATCTTTCTAATTATAGTGAGCTGATGAATGAGAAAAATACCTCGAATCATTCTCTGCCAGTCTAATTGTGGTGTTACTAGAGGGAGAGGGGAAGATACAAAAGGCTTCCTCAAAGAACAACAGAACTATGCTATCGTCAGCATGAACTTTGTAGCAAAACACTGCAGGGGAAAAGGCCATGGCTGTTATGGTTAAAGATTTAAAACAAACCCCAGAACAAAACAGATGTAATACGTACAGAATTCAGTTTTAATAAGCCCATTTGTAACTACCAGAAGCAGATAAGAAAATGGAGTCTTAATGCTATCTTAACAGTAACACTTTCTTAGGAACCCCACCCTATTTTTAATCATTTTTGTGGTGTTTTTTTTTAGCCACAGTTATTCAAAAGGGATTTCTGCAAACCCAGTTATCATCCCACCCATTCAAGGGACATGTTAGTGAATGCAGTGCTCACCAGGGCTGTGGTGTGGTGTCTCCAGGGGACTCTCAGAGTGAGATGGTTTGGACTTTTCACCCTAATTTTCAGTCTGAGGGCACTTCTCTTTTTACATCTGCCCTACAGATCCCCACTTCCCAGCACTCTCATGACTGGTTCAAGCAGGGGCCCTTCCCCACCCGCACTGACACCCTAACAGCCAGGCTGTGTACCCCTGCCTGGCAGTCAGCCCCTGCTACTTCCCAGCAGCAGCAGATGACACTTCATACCTTCCTCCCTCCTGATGAGTCAATACCACGTAAGCAGGGTGGGGAGGCAGGAGGGAACAGCATGTCCCTCCCCCTGCCCCAAAGGGCTGAACTCTAGTGACAGTACAGCCTGGAGGTGTCAACTGCTGCTACGCAGGCAGTAGTGACAGGAGACCTGCGATGCACACCCACGTCTGGCAAACACCATACCTGTATATCAGGTTGTGGCAGATACGGGAAGAGGGGTTTGGACAGGAGTGCCCAGTCCTACAGACTGAAAAGACAGCAGGTAAAAGCATCCCACAGGTTCTGAGCTGTGGAGTACCTCTGTTTAATTTTACCAGCCCTTTAGATGGCAATGAATTAATATTTTTGCTGAGCTGATGGTTTTCTTCAGGGAGTTTATGACACGTTTAAAGCCACTCAGGATTGCTGCTCAAATTACTACTCAATAGATGATTTCAGCTTATGTTATTAATAGTGTTATCTACACAACCAAGGAAAATGAGGCACGTCACACGCATTCTTAGCTATTTTAAGATTTGTGGGTAAGCAGTGCTCCACTTCTACTGCAGTTGCCTTTGAAACCCACAGAAGAAAACACCATAAGGCACCCTCCACTCTTGATGTTCTCTTAAGTAAAGCTTCCCTGTGTGTGGAAGTGTGACATAATCACACTTGAGGCCCAAAAAGAACAGTAAAAACACCCTTTTTTTTTTCACCCTGGCAGACTTTGCTGATGTTCTTCCAACCGAGAAGTAGCAAGGTGCCACAGCTAATGAAAGTCACAAGGTGAGTGGAATGCATTAGAAATTTTTATAAATATCACATCCTTCCTGATTTCCTATCGACCTGTTTGATTATGCCATATAGAGGGAAAAGTGTGACAGAATTAATCAGCCTGCTGGAGTGAACGCTGAAGGAACAGAGAAGCTTTTGCAAGGCTGTTGTTAGCATTGGAAAAGAGAATCTGTGACAAAATAAAAAGGCAGACCTCAATCCAGAAGCACGTCAGTCAGAAAGTGAGACATGCTATGATTTATCAACGTAACACAAATTGATGGGAGCGTAGCTCTCCCACCTCAAAGTGTGGTATCTGTGCAGATTAAGAGTAGCATCTGTCATCAGGAAACAATGGGAAAGAAAAATGTTTGATAAAAGCTATTCTGTACTCTCTTGTAGGCAGAAAACCACTGTGTCATTGGAATGGAAGGAAAGATGCCTCTGCAGTTACATCCTCAGCAGCAAAAAAGACAAGTGTTGTGACAAGAGGAAGTGCAAATAATTAAATAGCAAAAGATCAAATGAAAGGAGTGACTTAATGTTTACCCCGTTTCAGAAGGTCCAAATCACACTGTAGAAAAAGGATGCTTGCATCACCCCCAGAACACAGCAGCAAACCGGGGCCACAGCATGTGGTGGCTTACCACTGTGGCACGACAGGGCAGCTTTCCCTTTCAAAGAAAGGGCTTCTTTCTTCTCAGCTCAACAGCTGCTGCACACAGGGTCTCCAACATCTTAGCAGTTTGATTGTTGTACATAGAAAAAGCAATACCGAAGCATAAGACATGTAACAACTTCATGAATGTTTTGCCAGCAGTTGATACAATGGAAAGCACATCTCAAAACAGCAGGGCAGCAGAGTAAAACAAAAACCATGGAGCCAGTAGTGTCACGTCATTTGGCACATCCTTGCACTTCCCTTAATGCGGTTTCAGATCTTGGAAGGGAAGGCCAGAGCATCTTATTTGCTAATTAAGGTTTCACATGATTCAAACACTGAACAAACAAGGGACATCCCCAACTAGAGAGACCTGCCAGCCTTCATGACCTTGCCAATAGACTGATATCTCAGTTCAGTGCTTTCATGACACAGATAGTGAAAGAACTTTGGACAACTGCATAAACAAGTGTGTATGCACATGCACACGTTTTTATGCTGGTATGCACGCACTACCTCTGATCGTGATCCAAAAGTTACACCTCCCTGTTTGAGTTAAGGACGCTCCAGACACCCTGCAGACACAGGCGTAACAAATAGAAGACATGAAAATAACAGACTTCTATTCTATGGTGCCAAATGGCTAATGATAGTAATTAAGGATTTTAAAGTTCTTTACCAAGTGGTATTATCAAAGATAGCATCATGCTTGTAATCTGGCCAGAGCCAATGAGGAACTGCTGATCAAGCCACCGAGGCAACACAAACAGTCCAGTGGCTTGCCATCTGCTCAGAGCTCTGCATTACACCTCATCCCCATCCGTACAGCAGTGAGCCACAACAGGATGCAGATGACCAGACTGTTTAGCTGTCATTTCAGCTGAACACGCACTGTATGTTGATGTGTTACAGTGGACTCTCAAAACCAAACATGGCATATCGCTGCTGGACAAATAGCTCCTTCAGCATCTTGCCTTGCCATTTTTGTGGGTTGATTGTACCCACACAGCAAGGTAAGTATCAGGGGTTGATCAAAATTTTGCCTACTATATTAAGTATTTGCATGTGGTTTTATTATGTAGAACACACTGCTAAATGATCCATGAAAGCCTTTGGCACTCACTCTCCCTTTGGTTAGAAGCCCAGTTACTCCTAGAAGAGCTTTTGGCCTAACAGCTCCTTTCAGCTACTCCACTAAAAATTAGGCCTGTAATATTGAGTAGATTCTTGAGCAGGTTCTTAGCAATAAAAGTAAAGTTCAGGGTAGCTGGAGATTCCCAAATGGTTGCAGCTTGAAAATCGGTTCATTCAAGGAAGGGAGCAATCTGAAGTTCATATAAAACACTTGGACACCTCAATGATGGACAAGAGTTTCTCCACTCATTTCTCTGTTTCTTACCACTTCCCCACTGTTTTTTCCACTTTCAGTTTCAATTTATCCCTCCATTTGTACCACACACTTAACTAACAGCCTTCTAGTTGTGATTCTGGTGGTTTTAGTGATGAGGTACCAGCTGTGCAGCCCTGCAAGCTGGTACATGTATGACCTTGAAATTTTCTGTGTAGCCAATCAGAAAAATGCCTTTAAACAGTGTTTTCTATCTCCCAGAGAGCATCTCTCAATTTTCAGCATTAGCTATATATCACTTTATAGCATCCAAAGCATTGTGCAAACATTAGCCAGCTAATACCAACAAAAATCACTCCCCTCCCAGCCTAGAGACAATAACAGGGTAAGTAACAGTGCCTCCATTTAACTGAAGCCAGCCTAGGGAGTTTTTGGCTTGCTTCTCTGCAGGAATATTAAAAGGGAATGAGAATGAAGATAGCTGTTAATTTAATGTCACAGCTAGGAAACCGAAGGTCTTCAGATCACACTTTCTCCTCAGTCTTTTAATTGCAAAATTATACTTCAGGATTTGACACAAGTTTCTCACCTCCCTATTTTCAAGCTACTAGGAAGCAAAACCAGACAAAAAAAGTACATTTTCCCTCCCTAATCTGCAGAGCCTGCACAATGCTTTAATTTCAAACAGGAGAAATCCTGCTAACTACCAGCATATTCTAACAGTCCTTGTGATTTCACAGGAAGCTGTGTCAAAGTAAACCAAATTATAGGTCAGAATGTGCCAATCTTTTTATCATTATCACTAATTCCCCTTGTGACTTATGCCCTTCCCCCCCCCCCCCCCCCCCCCCCCATGTGTCTTACCAGGTTCTTTGAGCCTCTGGCTCCATAATTATTCATCACACTAGATTCAGCAACAAGACATTAACAGAGTGTTCTTCTCACGTTTTCTTTAAGCGTTAGGTCTAATAGCAGATAATAGAAGATTGAGATTTTGAGGCAAGAGACACGGGAATTTGGGTGGAATCAAATGACTAACAGAATTTTTGCTAAATAAAAATATAAGAAACGGGGTAAAAATAAGATTCTTGAGAAGACTAATTCCTGCCTTTTTTTTTTCTGGATAAGCACTAATCCAGACCCTACAATACTCCCACTTCTAGATATGATGCTTAGTAAATCATTCCTAATTTCACATGAAATTTTCATTAAAATAGTGGGAATGTTCCCCAAATAAGTTAAATCATTATTTCCTGTGAGCCTCTTCCAGATCCCACACTTTTTTGCCTTTGCCATCATGACCAATGGTATCCCAAGACCCTTTGCACTGGCACCCTGACTGGTTCAGCCCCACCGTTCTGTGTCACCATCCCACAGCCTCTTCCCCTGCAATTAGACTCCACCTTCTGAGTAAGAAATGTATGCCCTGCGTCTGCCTAGCACCTAGCACAACAGGATCTTATCAACTAGAGCCCTGGCTGTGAATTATACAAGCCATAAATCAGGAAAGCCAATTTTTTTTTGCAGGTTAATGTTATATAAGTTATGCCTGCCAGAAAGTACAAACAGCAAGAAAACACACCTCTTTGCATTCCAGCATGTTGTGGAAGATCGTAAAAGCACTTAATATGTTATTTAAGCCAGTTAAGCTGGATAGCACAACTGCTGTAATTACCAACAATTCTCCAGATCCCCATATGCCAGACAAAGGATCACGTTTTGCATTTTCAGGCTGGTAGGAGGGAATCAGAACACTGCAGAAATGAAATGGCATGCACTGCTTTTTTTTCCTCCCTTCTGCCTCTCCCAGCAGAGCCTACCTTTCACTACAGCTACCCCACGGCCCTGTCAATACAAGAGACTGAAACCCATCACATAAAAAAAGCTGGCCTTTTATTGGGTTATTAGTTTAAGCATAAAAGGTGTTGAATGCTTTAAGAAAGAGAAATGAAGCTACTTCTCTTGATAGCTACGTTCTGTAGGGGGGAAATTTTCTTTTTTCTTATTTTTTTTTAAATAATAAAACCAAAATTAAAAAAAAAATGCCCCAAAATCTGACTTCCTCTGGAAAATCCATGAACTGAAATAAATGTGAAGTGGAAATGTAGAAATACTCCTGAGCACTTGCATCCTTCTTGCACACAGGGTCAGGCACAGGGCAGCGTGATGTGAGGGACAGGTATGGGAGCAGGAGAGAGATATGCAACACAAGGCAGAATGTGCATGAAAAGGGCATCAATGACAACAGAGGGAGGAGACCTAAATACTACCAGGAGCATGAACTTCATTACCCCTTGTAACCCTGGGACACATCACATGCCCAGAAGCCTCACCACGCTGGGTGCCAGCAGGCAGCCAGCCCAGCAGCACTGACTGCACTGGAACCTGAGCCAGCCCGACACTCCTGTGCAAAGAACAAGATCACTGGAGGCAGATACTAAAGTCTTCTAAAGGAGCAGGGAAAGAAGATACAGATTTGAGAGCCTCTGCCATAAAAGAAGGCTTTGAAGTTGAGGGTACCATGACTCAGAGAGAAAAGACCTGATGCAGATGGTCTTGTGGCTCTGAGCCCCAATTGCTCCAACCAGTTGTTATTTTCCATCCTCTCCATATGTGCAGATACGACACTGCAAAAGTTTTTCTCCATTGAGCTGTTCACAGAAAAGCCTCCAGACTGGGAACAAAAACCAAGACAGGAGAACCCCTTCTGAAGGCCTGACATTTTATTTCTCTACAGTAGAGAGAGGAAAATCCCTTTTTATTCCTCTCCAGGTTTTATTATTTTATTTCTCTCCATTGCAAAGAGAGGAAAGAATTTAATGGAAGAGCAGCTGTTTGCTGAGGAGGGCTCACAGCATACCCAGGGTAGAGCTGTGAACGTAGGGCACAGGACACACACTGAAGGAGATCTACAAGCTCCTCGCTTCACCTCCCCAGCACAGCTGTGTGCAAGGGAGCTGGCACTTTGCTCTCTGACCAGGAGTTCATTTTCTTTAACAGAAGAAAGCATCACCAAGTTCTGCACAGCCTCCCTAAAGGCATCCTTTCCTTGATGGGCATTTCTCTGTTAGGTCGTCTCCTTCTCTCTCTGTTTCAGGCTGTTTTCTTCCATTTTGAGACTAGGAGAGCTCTTTCCCTAGGTCCCAGAGCAATTGGGTTTCCCACTTGGTTGTGCTCTGCTGTTGCTTTTCAAGCCCTCTCTTCCCTCCCAAGCAGTGCTTAGTTCTCGCATCTCTCCCTCAGTTACTTATTTATGTATTTATGTATTTATGTATTTATTAATTACTCCCTACCTCTAGGTTCTGGGCTCCTCTTTGGTTTATGCATTTGATGCATCTCTGCATATGTTGCTAATCCCATTGCAACCCCTGCCACATTCCCCAGGCAGAGCTGACCTTTTGGCACAGGGGTACCGGTCTCATCATTCTCCAGGCTTCTCCAATTCATTGCTAAGATTGGTCAATTTGTTAGGGAGGGGAAGCAAGCCAGGCAGATACCACGTAGGGCAGTTAATGATCCAAAAGATTTAAGGAAAGTTAAACTATTTTCAATAAAGCGATAGCCAGCTTGTCACAGAATTGATTTTAGAAGGAGCACCAAAGGGACAGTCTTATTAACATCTCATTAACAGTGTCCATTTCAGTTTGTATTAAAACCTGAACACTTGTGAAGCACAGCAAGAAGGAAAGCCTTTAACTATTCTGTTTCTCACAGGCTGCAACTTGCGAAGTACGGAGGAAGCTGATAATGCTCTTTCAGTTCCTGAGGACTTCGGGCAGCTTAGAAAAGTTACATGACATTAGCAAACACCATTAATAAGCTGAAAACCTAAAGACAAACATCTACAAAACTATTGAAGCATAAAATAACATAGGAACACCTGAAGATACGTCTACTGACAAGGAGGTGTCCAGCACCAGATGTTAGTCACTGGTAGCTTTGGGCACTGTGGAAGATTTGGCTAGCTGTGTCTTCCAGTGTGGGAATGCTTGGAACACACCTGATCAGATTTTGCAAGAAATGGATAAAAGATGCAGATGTATTTATGGCTTTTACACACACCTGGTTACAAATCATGTTTGGGTTTCGTAAGGAACCATTAATAAAAACAAGTGGTGAGATGAGCAGCTCCCAACACTTAACTATAGCCTGTGGTGTATTACAGTGCCTCTAATAATGCCACGCAGAAACCATTAACTAAGCCCAAATTCTCTTTCAGGTCTCTTCCCCTAATAAAAGATTTTCTTAACTTGAGCAGAGAGAAGTCTCCATTTGGCTGTGAAAGTTTTCATCATCCTTAAGCACCAGGAAAGGAATTTCCACATCCAATTAGCGGAGCCTCCACCCCTGCAGCCTGAGCAGTTGTGCCCAGTATCATTAATCACTCTGTCAAATGAAGCGTTCACCACCTTCCTGGTAAGAACAGGTTACTGAAAAACATTCCTCATTACAATTCCATTCCACATTACAATAACCTTCTTTAGTATTACATTGCAATACATCTGGCAATGATGTTTGATTTTGTGTTTAACTAAACCACGTGTACAGGTTTAAGTATAATGTAAAATACCTGTGTATTTATCTGTGTTTATCAGCTCTCCTTCCCTGTGGCCCACAGTAAATAAATATTGCATCAGATGCCTGCATGTATTATATGCAACCTGACTCATCACATCACATGTGGTATTCATGCTAAATCTGCCTAAACCAGCAAATAACAAACAGCAGCATGAACAGAGCATCTTCACAACTGTGTCTTTTTCTGGCTACATGCCTACTCTTGCACTGGAAGAGCTGCTGTAATAGAGAAGTCTGTTAGTATTTGCAATTGCACAGCTCCTGGAATACTAAGACACTCAAATATTAGAAATTGATATTCACAAAAGAGCTGTCAGGGAAGCAGTTTTCCCTAAGGTGCAGTGTTACAGTACAGTGTGTTTCATTGGCACTTAGGCTTCCTTTCCTTCAAGGGGAGAAATCCGAGATACATGATCTGTTTGTACTCCTGACTTTTCCCCATCCAGTCAGAACATTGTTTCAAAGGACTCTTGCCCTTAAGTAGGCAATGTAATCCGACAGATTTACATTGATGTGGTCTGGGTTATGCCATCTTCTGACATGATAAGCTTCAGAGGAAAAAGCAGCTTTGTCCTCTAGAGGGGCACGTGGAGGGGAAACACCCGCAGACTTCAAGGACTCAAAGGCACATCTCATGCCTGGTCTCACAGCAGCTGACTTGTCCACCAGACAAACATGATGAAGAGAATGAACTGAAATCTGACTCAGTGCTACCCAAAAAAAGTTCAGGTTCAGACAGGGAAGGTTTGTAGCTGTTTGGTAAAAGTATAGCTTTGAACATTACTGTGCAGTTCAACCATGAAAAAAGGCATTTTGCAACCTCAGCAGTCTAGTCTTCTGCTCTGCCACTACACCAGCTAATCTGGAGAGGACTACTAAGATCATTGCTCCACTGTGAGCCAGGTTAATGGACAACTCCTAAAGACAGTGAGATCCTCAGATGTAGACTGGCCAGGAAACTCCAACTCTACCTTCTGTTTGTACGTTTGTGGCTTTGGCTGAACTCTGAGTGGAGCATACACTGAAAGGTAGAAGAACAAAGACTGGGATTTTCAAGGGGAACTCAAGGCCTTCTTTGTCCTCTGAAACAGTGAAGTGTACACATGATAAGCCAAGAGAGTCACTCCATGCAGCGGTCACATGCTGTGTGGAAGCTGTAATCTCACAAGGACACAGATATGGCCATGCAAATATGGGTTATGCCTATGCTAACAACTGATGTACGTCCCTAGGGCTCCTAAAGGGCTTTTAATCTAGCTGCTAATGTGTGTGAAAGCTTGTGCTGAAGAAGCTTCATTTCTCTTGTGCTACTGTAAGCCTGAAACATGCTACCCTTCAATACGCTGTCTTGAGGGGTGAGAACATAAGCTGGCAACTTCTTTGTTAAACCTTTAGAGGTATAAAGGAGGGGAGGTGTGTGCCATGCTGGGGACAGATGTCATGACTGCAGGCAGCAAACACAAAAAGAGGGTGGTTGTTAACAAGTGGTGTTGGTAACAAGCTGCATTCCCAACATCCCTTTCAACCAAACCATCTCCAACATAGTCCTCCCAACAATCAGGCTGAAGCAGCATAGGTACATTTACGTGCACTGCTTTGTTCTGCATAGCTTACCTTATGTTAAATAATACATAACATACTGTAAAATCCTAGTGCAGGTTAAACAAGTTGTAACATACCTCAGGTGGTCAAAGCAAACCTAACTGCAAAGCATTAGAAGTTAATTGTCTTTGCATCAGCTCAGCTCCTGCCTGTGTAAGGCTCCTGCGTCAGAGAGCTGACAGCAAAACTTCAGATGTGGGGGAGGAAGTAAAGCAGACACAGGAGGGAAAATGCTGCAGACATCTTTAGGTGAGGGCTTGTCGTACTAGACTTTTGTCATTATTGAATTCAGTCATGGGGAAAGGTCAAACTTACCTAAGGCAGCCTGAGAACAAGAACCTGTCTCTGTTTCAAGGCCCATCAATAGGTGCTTTCCCAAGGCTACAGCCTGCACCAGGCATTTGGCTCAGGAGGTGCTCAGCATCTCTGGCTGCACAGAGAAATGCTTGACCAAAAAGCATCCGAACTTCTGCCAGGAGCAGTGCTGGTCCCTCCACACAGCCATGCCTGGGAGGGAGGCTCAGAGAGAGGGGGCCTTTGTACAGCCCTTGAGATGACTCCCGGTGCCAGAAGCGACGTGGCACAGGAGTACAGCTGAATCACAGCTGCAGCACTTACAGTAATTGTCCAAGGGACAGAACAATCGCACTTGTCTGACTGGTCAGGGCACGATGGGAGCCCAGCACATTTTTCTTTGTGAAAGCATTTCTCCTTGAAGTAAATTTCCAAATCAAAGTCCTTTTAACTCCAAAGCCTTTCCAGACTTCTTCCTGGCAAGTGCAATTTGTTCTAAGGGGAGCTTTAAAAGAGATGTTACCCAGGAGAGTGAGATCTCCCTGCTGCTGGCTTTCACTGCCATCTGTGAAGAAAGTAACCCTGAATTTCCATTACACTGTAATGAGAACTGAGGTCTCAACTCCAACCAGTGCCCTGAAAAACACCTAGGATGCAGCCTGAAGTCCCTTTTCCTGGTTGCAACTCTTCACCTCCTCAAATAGGGCTGCTTCTGTGACAGAAATCATCCCCAGCCCCGTGTAAGCCTGGCTTTCTCTTGGGGCTGGTGCTTCCCTGCAGCTCAGCAGATGCAGTAGAAGAGTTGGAGAAAGGCCTGCATTGAACTTGGTAGTGGCACAAGCCATAAAGGAAAACTGATTGCTCACACCAGGAGCTGCACCCTTTCTCATGCACAGCTGATGCAGCACACACAGCCACGTGTGTGACTCAAAGAGAAGCACTCTGTGCCACGTTTAGAGGCCAAAACAGTCTCCACTGATGCACAGTTACAGGTGCTGGGCTCATGGCAGGGGCGAACCCAGCACCAACCAAGAGCCTCAGAGATGCCACCAAGCTCCCACATACGCAAACAAAGAAAGCAAGGGACATTTCTCTCCCATTGCCTACAGGAGCCATTGACAGCATTGAATATCCTGACCACTACCACCAAGGGGAAAATCCAGGGGGTTCTGCCTATTTTCTTAAGACCAGAAATCAGTGGCAAAACTGGGGAGCAGGGGAGAGGTGACTTTGCCCCAGAGGGCCGTGGTGGTGTGGGGTTGGCGGGTCTCAGCAGTTGCCATTGTTGATGGAACTTAGAACCGGTGTCCGGGTACCCTGGTTACCCCAGCACATCTTGGTGCAAACATGGTTCTCCTTCTACGTGGCACAAGTGAGGTCCCAGGGAAGGGAGAGGAGGTCTGCGTGCCATGGAGGAGACAGGCTTTAAGGATGAAGTGGATGGAGCCATGGCCAGGGACTGCAGCAGGGACAGCACAGCTGGCCAGGTGAGCAGGGGCATGGAGACTGGCACATAGTGGGAGCAAAGCAGAGCCCAGCTTCAGTCTCACCTCTGAAATGTGGTTTGGGATGCAAGTTGCAGAGAAGTAATCTTCCAGTGGAGCAGAGCATGTCAGAGAGGAAAGGACTTACCTTCATACACACTTCAGCATGTTTTATAAGGCAACGCAAACTTGTGTTTAAGTCAGTTATGTAGGAGTTGCTTTCCAAAAGATGAGTGGAGGAGCTACCTACACAAATGGTGACACAAAGGAAACAGCCATCGCCCCTTGCAAGAGAAAATATCCCCCTTCCCAGACTGGGAGATGCAAGTTCAGTGGCTGAGGACTTTTGTTTCCAGTCTGGCTTTGCAGCAGGTTGGCCACAGTACCTTTGCCATCAATACAGCTGTGCTTGGAGCAGTGTGGCATTTCAATGAGCCCATTGTAACCACGTATTTCCACTTAACAAGTGGCTCTCAGCCCATGTTTGATTAATGCCATTAGAAACCAGTGGCCATTGTTTACCTTGTAATTTATCAGAGGTAGGATTTCCAAAAGGGATTTCAAGTAGGCACCTTGAAAAGTCTTACGGACTTTTAATTACAATAGAATACCTAGCTTCATTAAGCACCTTTGAAAACCCAATCTGAAATGATCTGGCAGGAAGAGAAATGCTTCTGAGTCCTAGGACAGGGGTTGTCCTTGGCAGCTTTCAGAGAGAGGATGCAAGATGTGTATGAACTGGAAAACTAACCTATGCCTTTGGCAATTTGCAGACCGCAGAGGAGGACCTGTGTGGCGCAGCGAAGGAGGCAGCCCTTGGAACAGGCAGCGAGAGTGCCCCACCACTCAAGGCCCCGCTCATCTGTTGCGCAGAGGGCCTTGATAAGGACACCTTTAAAGTTGTGAGATACTGGGTAGCTTTAGCTGTAGAAAAAGTCAGTGGAATCCCAGGGTTTTGAGAGGGAGGGAGCAAGTGGAACGCAGGAGCCTGGCAGAGGGAGATAAAAAAGAACACGAGACTTCATTCCGTAGCTTTCTTCCATGTCTAAAACCTTTTACCTCCTCATTGTTTTCCAGTCTTGGGCACACTGCAGCACTTTTAGTTTAAAAACAAAAAAACAAACCCCAAACACACAACCTCCCCCCAGAAAACCCCAACCAACCAACAAATAATCCCATTTCATAAACACAGCTTGGTTTATGGGAACAAGTACTGCTATGTTATCACTTCTCATGACACCATGTGCTTCCTTGGCTAAAGTGGTTTGGTTCCTCTGCATCACTTACACTGCAGCTACCAAAGCTCCATCCCATCCCATCCTCCCCCAGCATGGCAGATAACCTTCCTGTTCCTGGTATATGGCATAACCACACATGGCCCCATTCATGGTCTAGTGCATACAACAGACAAAAAGACACACAAAAGGGAGGGCATCCAGGCACAGGGTTTGCTCTTGCATCACGTGTGAATGTTTGCACCAGGTCCCAGGTTTGGCCACAGGAAGAAGCAGCATGAGAAGAAGCAGGAAAGCAGTTTCCTTTCCCCCTCCTTGCAGAACAGCAGCTAGTTTGTAGCCTGAAATTTATACCTTTCACCCCACAATGTTAAAAAGGAATTCCCAGTCTTGGAAATCACTCAATTCGCTTTCGCATCACCTTTGGCATGCTTTGCCTACGGCATCACCAACCTTGGGATGTGCAGGAGCAACTCCTGCAGAGCAGTGGGAGTGCTTGACGGAGGTCCTGCTGAAGACTCATGTCAGGTCCCCCATGTCTATACAGGAGACACTTAAACACAACACTCCTTCAGGGCTTCCTGCCCAGCTATTTAATCAGTTTATTTAGTGAAAGGGAACGCCTGACACCTGCATTTGAAGTGCTGAACACCTATGCCAACAATTTATATAGAGTGTTTTTTTGCAGTGCAAGGAGGTTTTGAGACCCTTTAAGTCATCCCTTCGGAAACTGAATTTGTCCCAGCACCACCTCATGAAGAAAAGACTGAAGCACGTCCAGGAAAGTTTGGCCATAACTGGGAACTGCATCGATCAGTTTCTCCACAAGTTCTGCAGAGCCTCAGAAGTCGCACGCTGGCAGAAGTAAGGGTCTCCTCTTACCTGGCATGGTGGTACCCCACTGCGATGCTCCCACCGTGGTCGGCTCCTGCCCCTGCTGCTCCCTGCGGGTGTTTAGAGGCTTGCTTTGACCATGTATTTGCAGGCACTGGAAATCAGGTTGGGTGTCTACAGGATGCTTGTAGAGCTGCTCCAACTGCCAAATACTCACAGATCTAGCAGGTGATTTTAGCACAGGCCATGTGGTAACTAGTCCTGCCCAGCACAAGGCCAATTTTAATGTGCTGCCCATCAGCAACATCCCTTTGCAAGTAAAGGGGCTCCTACGTAGCCACCTGAGTTAGTAGGTAACCCTTCCCATGCTTAGGGAAGCAGTTCTTTGAAAGTTTATATGCTTGTGGGGGGGAAGGAAATAGGGCAAAAATCTGTGCAAAGGGTATGTCAGTGGCTACACTTGCCAAGCCAGAACTAGGGAGCAGGCAAGGAAGAGGATGAAGTTTGTACTCACACAGTCCACATGTCTTTCTTTTCCCAAGGAAGTTATGGCAGTTTGTCTCCCTCTTCTCAGAGCTGGAAGCAGATCAGTTGGAGAAGATGTACGTGTGCATCAAGAAAAACCAAATGGATAAGTTTCAAGTAAGCAAATAGAAAAGTTAATACAGCCATAAGGTGTTCCTGCTGTGATAACTTTAAGGGATAACTTCCATGCAGCTTACACAGATTGATCCATGTCAAAGGAGAAGGCCACAGATCCTGAAGATATTGCCAGTTCCTAGCATAACACACGCACTGAGCTATCACAGGCACCAGTTGCCTTCCCTGGCTGGCACTGGGAAGCAGAGCTGGTGGCCTCAGCACAGTGGATTACAATTTTGGGAGCTGTTTCTGATGCCACGTTTCTAGTCAGGCTTTACAGACCAGATTTGATCCATAGTTTTATCTAATGGTGTAATAGTTAAACTTTGAAACAAGCGACTAGTTCAGGTGCAGCCTGTGTTAGCCAAAGCTGATTTCTGTGTCTGAGCCTCAGCTATAAAGGGAAACTGCAACCAGTGGCTTCCCAAGAACACTGACTCCAAAGGGTTAACCCATGTGAGCAGTCTCATAACCAACCATAAACATATCTGCTGAGCAAAGGCTGAGTACACCAGGAGGTTCAAAGGTCCACGAGAAACACACACTTTCAGAAATTTATTAAGAAATAATGAAGACCAGATCTACAATGAGGAACAGAAAGAGAGGAATCAACTGGGAAATTGCTCCGAGTAAATCAGAAACGAGCAGTAGGCGAGAGCTTGTTGGGTCACTAGGACACTGCTTGCTTCGTGTTAAAAAGGGAGCTGTGGTCATCTGATAGCTGGCAGTGATAAGGCCATAAATAAGTTTGAGGCCACAGGTAAACAGCTCTCTCCTGCAGTCAGAGAGCAAGGAGGAAGCCAGCCGTGCAGGTTTTGCTTTTAGTTTACGGGGAAACAGAACTATTTATTTATTTCTAAGGCTCCATAAAGATGTTCCAACGCTGAGGAAATCAAACCGATCATAAAGAAACAAAAATGCCCAACAAATGCCTGTTGCTGGCACAAGACGCAAGAGATTAATTGGGAGATATTAAAAAAGCAACTGGCAGTCCCAGGAGGGAACAGGCATTCCTGCTCCCTTCCACTTGTGAGTGCTGGGGAGGGGGAAATTGGGCTCCATTTCCAGCACGGCCCTTCTCAGAGGCTCTGCTGAGCCCAGGACATGACCTGGCTAAGGACAAGCCCCACTGCTCCTGCAGCACACAGAACTGATGGTAGCTCCCCACTGCCACCTTGGAACAAGTATTAAAGAGCCAGGACCCCCCCCCCCCAACACCTTCCCATCCTTTTTGCTCCCCTAAATAAAAACCACAACCAAATGACACATCTTAGTGTCCAAGGAGGAGGGGGGGAAGAAAAACCCAAACAGTGGGTGACAAGCATTAGTCACGCTGCATTGTGCGCTATTGGGACGCTCCGGCGTGTACCGAGGAGCCATGGCTGTGCCACGCTGGGGACCAGGCTGCCTCCTAAAAGAAGTGACAAATCCTGCCGTTATGTAAGGGTTGACAAATGCCTTTTGTTATGCAAGACAAGTGGGAGAAAAATAAGCATCTTTCGCCCTTTGTGGGAAGGGAACAGCAGTCGGCTCCCTGCTAGAGCATAAACAACAGGCTGTGGATCCAGGGGGGATCGGCATGCTCGGCACAACAGAAATAGGTTGTTTGGAAATGCCTCGTTCTTTAGATGAGTGAGCATAAGAATACAGAAACAATATTTAATTAGCAAGCGATTGAGGTTGTCAGTGTGGTGATTTGACAACGTTGTGAGGTTTGGTCCAGGAGAGAGGCAAGCGAGCAGCCATCTGTTAGTCTTGCTCACCAGTCCTCTTGAAATTAGGGAGCTGAGTCCCCTTGCCTCACATTTGGGCTTTTAGGCTTCTGTTTGTTTGCTTGTTTTTAATTAGAACCAAACCAATCAACCACGTCTGAATTCAAACACTGGTCCCAAGTCCCTGCCTTCAGACTTGGTGAAAATACCAGGGCTGCTTCTCAGAGCTAGAAGAGAGCATCGTTTCCCTTTGCAACCCGCTGGTGCCTGTACGCTGCTCAAAGCTGTAGAAATCAGCCCCATGTCTCAGCCTAAGAGAGTAAAGAACGAAGTCTTGTGGGCTCTCTGAGGCTTTGGAAGCATTGCTTGTTTTTTTAAAGCAAGTCAAACAGCACGAACACTGGCACTGCAAAAACCCTTCTCTCTGGGATTGCCTCTGGGAAGGAGGCGCAGCGCAGCAGCTGCTCTGCACCCAGCTCCATGCTACCCTCCCACCACCCTTAGGATGCCCAGGGCAGGGACCCATCGCCGCCCGTCTGCCGCCCTCCCAGCATACAGTGCCATAAAGCGACAGTGACATCCAGCGGCAGCGCACACCCGTCCACAGCAGCCCCCGCCCGGGCTGAGCGGGGCTGAGCAGTGCCCGTGTCCCATCGCACACACTCGAGCCTTTGTTCAGATGCAGCCACCCAGGAGCGCTCGCAGCCACTGACGAGCCGCCCGAAGCGCCTGAAGAAGGACAGTGCTGTCCCTACCGTGTGAGAAGGGTTCTTGTGTCGAAACACACATCTTTAGGTGCTTGGGTAGCCTGGGCTGTGTGAGCCAAGCTGCAAAGAGAGCTGAGCTGAGCTGAGCTGGGCACCAACGCAGGGGACCAGTGACAGCACAGAGAACACAGCTCTGCAGTGGCTACACCAGCACTGGCTGCTGGGTCGGATGGGGTCTCAGATCTCAACTGCAAGGAACAAACCCTGTCAGGTGAGGATTTGTGCGGTCAGTACAGTCATTTCTCAGCTGGCCACGCAACAGGACCACGGTTAAGCAAGAGTTATTGCTCAAGCATGAGTCAGTGTGTGGTGGTTGCTCATATAAATATCTTTTAAAGTGTTCTTTGTGGTTGCTCCCTTCTTGTTTTTAAGCAATTATGCTGCCCTTCGGAAACCCCATATTCAGAAGAGGAACTGAATTGGCTTTACACCAGACGGGGTCTCCAAGGAGGGACAGAGAGACCTGCAGGAGCAGCCAGGTCAAAGAGACAGTCACCATCAGCACAACTGCCAAGTCAACGCCCAGCGGCAGGAATGGCAGGTGAGCTCAGGCAGTGGCATCGGCACCAAGCAGGGAAAGCATCTTCCTGCCCCAGGAGAGGCATTGAAACTTGGCATTTTTGCCAGAGGCCCAGGAGGTGAAGAGCAGTCAGTGGTGGAGCTGGAGGAGCCGGGCAGGTTGAACTGCTACTCAGAGAAGAGACATGGGAGTAGGGAAGACAGCAGTAAGAGAAGCTACTATAGCACAAGGCAGTAGTAAGGAAGAAGATGCCTCTTTGTTGGCGCATGTCAGTCGGCATTCATTAGCGTGTCTTTACATAGCAGCCTGGATGCTCAGAGCATAGTTGTGGTTTGCCTTTGGGCCCACCCAGCAAAGCCACACACTTTGTCTTCCAGAGCAAAAATGCAGACCAACCTGTAGGAAGGGTGTTTGCAAAGCAGTCACTGGGAGCCTGTTGACTCCAGCCAGGACTCCGCCACACGCAAACCCTCAAGGGGGGATGGAGAAAGGGACATTAGAAGCAATTGCTGACAAGATCAGCTTTGCCACAAACAGGTGCCACGGTCTGCCTGTGGAAGGAGGATTTGTCCCACATAAGCCTATTTTCAAGCTGCTAAAATGCAATCACATGTCCTGTGGGAGTTCTCATGCACTCATAAGCATCTTGCTTTTCATCTCTTTCCTCCCCAGTCTATTTACTTCTAAAAAGAGTCCAATCTGGTGTGTAACAGCTCTGAGGGAGCACCTCACATCCAAACTCATAAACCAAGTCAGAAAAGCAAGAGCTAGACGGCCTGATGCAGGAGGCTGAGTAGGAGTCCCACAGTAACCTGCTGGCTGTGTGACTCCAGGCAATCCTCCTCTGCTTGTCTGCTCCACTGTAGGGATGGAGAAAATACCACCCCACCGACCCCTACGCTGGTGAATGCATCGCGGACACACAGCGCGTGGAACACCAGAAATTAGCACAGCTGAAGCGCAACGACCACAGCAAGGGTTTGGGGCTGGGGGCTGCTCGCCAGCAGGAGCAGCCCAGTGGGATTGAAGGGATTGGGATTGAAGCACGTGCAGGCTCCAAGCAGTAAAGCCCCAGGGGACGGCCGGGGCACAGCCGAACCAGCTCCTGTGGGAGACAAGGCTGCCCAGAGGAGTTACACCTTCCATTTACTTTGTGTCTTTCCTGTTGTTTTTAAGGTTCCCAGAGCACTGCAGAGGGAAGGGGAGCACAGGAGCTGGTTACTGCAGCCTCAGCACTGGAATAAAGAGCAGGGAATAAAAACAGTCTCCATGGTTCCCTGAATCCACCAAATACTGAAACACCCGCAGCGTCGTAGCAACAAGCCTGGACCCAAGCGCAATGAAAAACAGGTTGTTTTAAACCATGTGATCTTATTTATTCTTATCCTGGAGGTTCCTAACAGCGCATCAGCACTGAGGCTCAACAGGGGATGTGTGAAGTATCAGATCTACCTTTCCTACATCGTTCTTTTTGCATAAACCCCAGTAATGGAAGAGCAGTGCTTGTCAGGAAGCAAACAGCTGCTTCTTTCCTTACCATGGCAGAAACCCTTTCCTGAGGAGAGCAGGATCTGTTCCCTGCTCATTTCTGCTCACACACACACACAAACCCTACACATGGTCAGCAGTCACTGACTGGGGAGCAGGGAATGAAAGAGGGAAAGAGACCAGTATGGAAAATACCCTGGTTAAAAGAAGTTTCATAACTGCTCCACACACACTTGCCATTTGTAACTGTTCAGGGCAAACAACAGCCACGCGTTTGGCCTGTACTCACACCGGTGTCCTTGGCACATCTGCAGCTGGCACCCATTGATCCACACTGGGGTGGCTGTAGCCCTGTTTGCCTGCTGCCGCTGCTGCAGAGACTTATCTGAGAGCTGATGCTTCAGGACAGGAATAGCGAGAAAATAGCAACAGAACTGGTTGGTTGGGGCTTCAGGGTTGGCTAGGTTTGATTTACAGCGGAACCCAGGACTTAAGGAAGCATCAGAGAGATCAAGAGCTTGGCATAGAAATCCTACAGTGTGACCAGTCAAAAACCCCAGAGATCCTTCCTTCCTGCGTGCCAAAGCAGGGATGGGTGGGCAGGGGCTTAGTTACTGGCCTCAACTCTGAGCCCAAGCAAGAAGAATCCCCCCTAGCTCCCAGTGGAAGGGCAGACGACGCAGGCCATTTTTAGAACCAAAACAACAGATTTCCTTCTGAAAAGGCATCTTGGCTCGCACCCACAGGCCTTGGCAGGAGCTCTGCCACGGAGGCACCGCTGCCAAGGGCGCACTTGAGGCTGGGAAGGAGGATGGCACAGGGCGCCTTCACCGGGCAGCGGGTTCAGCTTCTCCCAGACCTGGCTCAGCAGCAGCACACGAGGAGTCTCCTTCAGGTAATGGAATGCTTCTTCCAGCTGCAGGTTGTGACCTTCCTCCGGAGCACACGCTGTGACCCAAACACAGAGGTGCACGTGGCCGCTTCAGAAACATACTGCGTGCCCTCGAAGTGCCACCGTGGGTTAAGACAGAGCTGAGCAAGATTAAAGCCTGCTCAGGACTTGGATGTGTAACTTTTCCAGTAGGACTTGAGGTGACTTAGACACGATGGGAAAGCTCTCACGGAAAACTGAGCTCTGCCAGCAATGACCTCAGTTTCCTGACCAGATGACAGAGGGAAAGGGAAAAGGTTTCACCTTCGGAGCTCCCTGCTCTAAGTGCACGGTAAGAAAACCTTTGGTGTCAACTAAAGGATGCACCAGTGCTACTCACGGATACTACAGGGATTGCTTTTTCCTGCTGTTTAATCGTGGAAGTCGGCAGCAGGGGTGCTACCAAGGCAGTAGTGCTCCATGCACGTTTCCTAACTCGGGCTGCTTGCTCTCTTCCATTGAAACGGAGCACCGGGGAATTCAAGGAAGCGTTGCACAACCCTGGCTCAAAGAGTAACGCAGAACCAAGGGAAAAGAGACACAAACCCCCCCCCCCCCCAAACCACAGCCTGAAGAGATGCCAGCAGAGGCCACGGCTGGCAGTTAAATCCGGAACAGTAAAGCCCACATTTTGTGCCATAGGAAGCTCTGTTCAGTGGGGAACCAGAGCTATCAGGCACAAGCAGAAGCCCGCAGCCGTGGCGCCTGGTGGCAGGCTGTCACCCTGCAGGGACACCCCCGGAACAGGAGCTGCTCCTGTCCGGGATGCACCAGACCTTCTGCCAGCCAGGAGGAGCTTCCTGTGCTTTGGGACAGCCAAGGGAGCATAACCCCAAGGCCACCCCACCTGCAAGCAGCCGGCCTGCCCCAGCGGCTCGCTGCAGCCTGGCTTAGGGGGAATTATGGTGAATTCTGTTGGCACGCGGAAGAGCCTGATCCTTGCCCATGGCAGGGTTTGGGACTCTGCTCCAACTGACCCAGGGAACAAAGTCATTGCTGGGAGGCAGCTTCGCTTAACTCCACAGGCAGCAGTAGGACGGCCTCGTACCTCCATGTGTTCAACACCAGGTCCCTTGTGCCTGGGCAGAAGCAGTTTTGGGGTTGCTGTTGTTGATTCTTCCTTCTTAGTGGCTGAAGCAAAGACGCTTTTGTTGTCTGCTTTTGTTGGTTTGTGCCGGGCAGTTTGGCTTCAGCACTCCCCAAATATCAGCGTTTCCCTGGGGAAGAGGGAAAGCGTTGAGGAAGCTGCAGGAACACACGGAGATGCCCCAGGCCTGGCATCCTTCACCCATTTCCATTTGCATGGACCCTACAGACGGGCTGCACAGCCGCAAAGGGCAAGGCCACAGCCCTGAGGATGTCAGCACGGCTGCCTCTGGAGCCAGCCTTGCTTCACAAGAGCTGAACCTGGCACAGACCTCACCTGGGCTCCTCAGGGTGCAGCATCTCTGGGCTGCACTCGGGCTGGGTGTTCGGAGGCGTTTTTGGAATGGAAATGGCAGACCTGTGCCAGGAGCCCCCGCACGGCTGGGGGGTTACCGCTCATTTACCACCAACACACACCTCTCACACCTGAGGGGTTCACAACAAAAGCTCCAGAAACGCTGCCTCCAACCCGTCCTGTGCTCAGGCAGACACAGAAAATGCTTTTGCCCTGTGCCTGCTCACCTGGATGAAAGACTCCGCATCCCCGTGGCCACCTCAGGGGAAAGCATTAGTACCAGAAGGTCCTCGGTGACAAGGCAGCCACGTTTACAACTCAGTATAAAGGGTATCAAACACAAAACAAAGGGGACAGCTACAATGGAAGTACCCCCAAAGCTGCGTGGTCAGAGAGCTATGGAAACCCAGACATCTTGCTCAAGAAAGCTTGGCCAGCACAGCCACAGGCCAGGACAAAGCTAACGTGGGCAACAGAGCCCAAAGGAGACAACAAAGGCAGCCCCAGGAGCTGGATCAGCTCAACTCAACTCCTAACCTCGCTCTGGCTTACTGTGACAAGGCAGAAACAGCCAAACACCCACTCTTAGACACGTTGCGGCAAGTGGCAGCTGTTTGTTGGAAGCAAAGTTTTAAGCAGATTCAATGCAGATACTTGGAGATGCGGGAAACACTCCATTTATTAGGTCAATATTTCATTTTAGCAATACAGTTACAGAATATCACAATGCTGGTTACAAACATAGTGTGGTTTGATGGGTACAAAGAATGCTGGGCACTGCAGTCCAGGAGGAGGAGGATACGGAACGTTAAGTCTTGACACGACAAGTAAGGTGGTCTCCAAGGTCTAGTAATGATGGAGATACTTTCCTATCAATGAATGTGGCACTACAGGCAGAGATGGTGGTTTAGAGGAGGGGGTTGTATAAGTAGTTTGATTTATTCAATGATACAGTTCAAGCAACATCTTTTTTTAAAATGCTATTAAATTAAAATCCCCTGTAGTTCAATAAGGTATAAAAATAGTACTGAACCCGGTAATATTCAATCAAATGTAGAGTTCATTCACATCGTTGAGTCATAAAGAAATTGTAAAGTTGTAGTTACCATGGCAACATCGCTTCCCATCACGGGATATACATCAAAGAAAGGAAGTTACACATATGGTACCTGCGACAATTACTGAGCGATCCAACACTGAACTTGTGCACCACAAACCAAGTCTCTAAATAGCTCTATATATTTATATAGTATATATCTTTGTCATCTTTAAACTTTACTTCTGAAGAAAGGAAAACAAAAATGTGCACTTCAACAAACTCACTAAGGCCACTCATGCTATAGATACTGAGGATTGCAAGGACAGATTGGTACACAAGACCCTAGAGCACGCGCCTTTCCATCACAGAAGGGAAACCGGTTTCACTGCCTAAAACATTCCTGAGATTTAGGGACAAAAGCGTTACCAGTGCTGCCAATTCCTCACACGCAGTTTGAGTTTGTTTCCAGGTCAAGGAAGTTTCCTCCCTGCTACTCAAGAGGGGTCCTTGCAGGGCCACGACAAACAGCGCGCCACGGGCCAGTTGCGGTGAATGGGGAGAGACCCACACCGAGGAGTCGGATCCGCAACTGGCGTTTGGGCAGTCACTGGTGTTATAGAACAGAAAGGAAAAGAGAAGGGGGAACCACAACCTTTAGAGGAAATAAAGTGTTTTCTGCACAGGCAGCAGAGGGGAGAATCTCTGCTTAAAGACTGGTAATGGCAACATCTCCACTGGGCTACCCGCTGCTGGCCTGCGGCCTCAAACCCCACCAGATCAAGTGAAGGTTTTGTCAACAGCTTCAATCATGTTTTAGGCACGATGCATTCTCCTGTCTGCACTCTCCCCATATGTAGGACTACAAAAAGGAAACCAAGTTAAATGTGCATTTGTTGTACCATGAGAAGCAGCGCAATGGCACCTGGAGCAAACTTCACACTGCAGCGCATTGAGAGAAAAACTTCATTCTTTCAACTTACAAAAGAACATCTTTGTCCTATAAATCAGAACTCGACAACAAAACCCTTTCAACATTACTTAACAAGAACTGTGTGCAAAAGGAAGAGCCCCAAACAGCACGTACCGCTGCAGGGCGCCTGTGCGGGCAGGGACACTGTGGCAGACACTTTGCAGGTTGTTATTTGGAGGCTGGGGAGGGACTCTTCATCAGGGACTGTAGTGACAGGACAAGAGGTGACGGGTTCAAACTGAAACGGGAAGTTCAGGCTGGATATAAGGAAGAAGTTCTTTACTGTGAGGATGGTGAGGCCCTGGAACAGGTTGCCCAAGGAAGTGGTAAATGCTCCATCCCTGGCAGTGTTCAAGGCCAGGCTGCACAGCGCCTTGGGTGACATGGTTTAGTGTGAGGCGTCCCTGCCCATGGCAGGGGTTTGAAACTAGATGACCTTAAGGTCCCTTCCAACCCAAACCATTCTATGACTCTATAATACTGTGCCATCAAAGTGACCAAACACCCGTTAGGGACCAACGGTCACGGTTGTTTTACTTCAAGTAGCTGAGGGATACACTGATTTTCAAATCTTCCTGCAACTTTTGTCAGCTCTTAAAGCCTTCGTGTACTTCTTCCCTTCCCCAAACCACACACAGCAGCCCCAGTCCCAAGAACAGTGGAGAAACCCTGATACCAGCTTCCTCCCTCCCTCCAACTGCAGCGTCTGCGTAAAGGAGCATAGAGATCATTCACTCAAATGACACTGTACTGAAAACGAAATGTTGTTTAATTTAAACAACAGTTACAATCATTTACTTTAGGTGACCCCTGTCCTCACCACTTGCATCCCATGACTCTGGTGTGATTACATGACTTACCTTCAAGATGCATGCCCCTGGATTTCCACTCTCGGCTCTCCCCTGTCAATGCAACCCCAACCAGCCTCTGTGCAATGCCAACAGCTCATTAACTTCCTCTAGCACCTGGAGTCGCAGGGGCAGGAGCTCTGGGGGCTGTCACACAGCTCCCTCCCCAGTACTCGGATGTACATGGAAAGCCTGCTCTGGGGCACGGTAGGAGGGGAACGCCCCAGCTCTGCTCCCAAGGGAAAGCATGGGGATTGCACCCTCTGCTCCCATACTCTGCCTGGTGCCCGTGCCATGGAATCCTGCAGTAACACCAGATCTACTCCAACCACACTGGCACGGAAGGACAGGCATTTACCTTCCTCTGAAGTCACCCAGCTGGACTCCTACTTTCTTAAAGGTATCAAACTGTAACAGCAGATACAGCAATCACTGACCAACGGCACCACGTTTCAGTCACCAGATGCTGATACAAACGTGTTCACAGACCTCAATTTCGGAGGCACAGAACCAAGAACTAGAAAGGTTGCATTTAGGTTATTACATGGAGAAACAGCACACCCGCAGCAAGGACAGCATCAGGGGAAGGTTCCATGCTCTGCAGAGCAGCAACAGAGCATTTTGGAGGCAACTGCAAAGTTGTTCCACAAACCCACGCTTGAACAGCTTTAGCTACTGGCCACTGCCACCCTTCTGCATCATTTACATGCCTTGGTGTGACTGGAGTTGTGGACATGCTACAATGAGGTCAACTCAAGAGTACAGTCAGGATTTAATGCAGCCCCACGAAGAGCATGCTACAGGTCTTATAAGGATTGCTGCCAGCTACTCTTGACCAAGTCACGTCTCTTAGAGTCTGCTACCAAGGAGATCCTGGGTGACATTTAGGACCTTAGCTCCTTCCAGACAAGCCAACGCACCAAGGTATTAATGTGCTGGTGAAGGAGCTCAGGGAAAGAAAGAGAAGTCTACCAAACCCAGCAAGGCTGGAGAGCAAAGCTACAGTTAAACCAACTGAACTGAGGCGTTTGGTTGTCAGAGACAAGCACGACACCTCCCTGTCCTGCCCCGTGCTGGACACTGTCCTGGCTGCCTTAACTTGAAGGCAAACAGTGAAAGGCAAACACAAAGCAGAGGTGAAACAACAGCAGTGGTTCATGTAGGCCACTGCCACTGGTGTCAGGCAAGCAACACCCCTCACCCCAAACACAGAACCTTGAGGTCTTTGAGATCCCTCAGTCAATAGCTGGAAATGGAGAGCCAGGACTGGAAACCCCAAGCAAAGAAACAGTCTGCAGATAAAGGAAGCACAAATCCACGCACCCAGCCTGAAGCTTTTGAACACTTCTGCAGTACAGGAGATACAACACAGCTCCTTGAGGACAATTCTAGGCACGCCGTCCCTGCCCAAGTTCTGACACCAGTCATACACGCTTCATCCAAGCAGTTTTAATAGGACATAGGAATTTGTAAGAACTTTGTAATTCATCATTCAGGGATAAAAACATTCTGCCTTGAAGACAGCTGCATGTTTGTAGCACCTCACACAGTCATAAACAAAATTCCTAGAAATACATTAGAGGTTAAATCCACACATAACTAAGTTGGATTTTCACTGAAGAGCCACTGAGGTTATACTGCAGTCTTAATACCGTGGGGATGTTTTGTAATGCAAATACTTCTTTTCACATCAGTGAAGATATTCCAAGCATTCAATAATCCTTAACTCTGCATTCACTAATCACGTAACTGCATTTTAAAGATGGTATTATTCAGCCTTTTCCCACAAAAATATACTTGAAGGCACCAGGATATGAACCATCGGTCTGTTCAAGTTCAGTTCTTAAGAGTCATGGCTGAGATTCCTATTTCTGCTCTGCACTCTGCCTTGAAGGCCACCACACAGCTTCCCCTGTCCCAGACTTCATAAGGGAATTAAAAGCCAGACCCCAAAGATGCTGTTCGGACCAAGCCCTGGAGGAAGCGTGCTCAGAGCCCCAGCACAGACTGGCCTTTGACAGCCCGGACACAAACCCCTGAAAATAGGGGCTGTGGGGAAGGAGAAAACCCAGAACTGACAGAATGTGAACTACAGGAGCATGGTTTGTGCTGCTCTGAGAGGAACTGAGGTAACAGCAGTGAGTTGTTCCTAGTTAGCTACGTTACACAGACCTTCAAATGAGATTTACCTCAACATTAAAAAGAACAAAGAAAGCCAAACCCAACACCCAAACCAAAAAGCCACACAACCAAGCACCCCCCCCCCCCCAACAGCAGAAAAATTAAGACAAGCTAGTGAGATAGGCATTATAAGAGGATCTTTACAGCTCTTTACAGCTCTTCTGCTTTTTCAATTAATATAAAGGAATCGGTTTCTGGTTGTACTCTTGTTTAATGTAGAAATGAAGCATCACAAGAAAATAAAAAGAAAAGACCTGTTTGTGCTTTTTGGCATTTTCCACTGACCCCTGCGGACTGTACAAGGAGTTGTGTTCTCCAGAAACACAGGTTGAACTGGATTGGAATACAAAACTATTAACTGGTATAAACAAGTTACTGCCTCAATTATTAGAGTAAGCCCATTCAAAAAGGAGAGAAAGAAAAGAGATGGCTGCAGGAAATAGTTAAAGCATTTCTAGTTTTTGCTTGTGGCATCGACATTAATATTTGTATAAGCTCACTAGGTAAAGACATGCCATCGCAACCGCTAAAGAACGTTCACTTCCTAGGTTTGTATCTATTACATGAATATAATTTTGCACTGATCATACATCTAAATGAAATAATCCTACTGTAAAAGTGAATGCAGGGGCAGAAATATTAAATTAAAGCCACTGGTCCAAAAACTGTTTCTAGCAGGCTGGTCCACTTTCAATTTTCCTGGTCCTGTTCAGAAGATGAGCACTCTCGGTTGGTACCAAAGAAAACTACGACTGCTGGTCTACTGGATCCTCTATCACTGACCGATGAACACTGGTCCAGTTCAGGGTGTTCACAACAACACATGGTGGTGACTGGCTTAACCCCCTGGCATGGTTCACAAAGAGTGTGTTGCTCTCCAGAGTGGTTCTTTGCCACTTTTCTTCATAAGGCAGACCCAAGGCTAGGGCATCCTCCCTTCTCTTGATATTTACGATTAACTTTGCTATGTGTACAGTAGAAAGACCCTTCTCCTGTAACTTCTTATCGTACTGCATTTATTCTTTCTATGTAACAGCAGAAAGCTCTTGATGAAACCTTCCATTCATAATAAGAATGCAACTCTTTTGAGCTCAAACAGTTTTATTTAAGGTTTTCTTGCAGACTTTCTGCAAAGTAGCTTCTTTTGAAAGAAGAGAGAAAGAAGGGGTTTTCTGGAATACCAAGTTCAAAATGTGAGCCGAACTAAACATGCCATACACATGCTGATAAGAATTTAACACACATTCATCCGTATGGGCACTCTTCAGTAGACTGGACCAGTGTTTCAATGCAAATTCCAGCCCCCAGAGAACTACATGGTTTAGATTTCACAGTATGACTTTTCCCCCTGTAACCTGGGGGGAAAAAACCTTAACTGGTTTATTGACCAAGTTCTTAACTACTCTGTCCATCAACGTTCTGAGACATCAGAAAAGACTGGACCACTTCTTCAGTGGATTGAGGGCTGGTGCTTACGTCCTCCAGAGCATCTGTAACCGAGAACTGCCGATCCCGCAACCGGTTCCAATTGGCCAAAATATTGTGGTATTCAAAGACTTTCTCGTAATTGCCAATGGAATTGTACAGTTTAATGAGACCTCTGTAATCGTATTCAAGTCCACTGTATCCTTCCCCAAAAAGCTTCTTTCCTAAAGAAATCCAAAAGAAAACAAAATTAAAAGGTTTCATCTTATTTCTGGTGTCATTTTTTAACCGACACCACAAACCTTTGTTATGGTCAATCAAGAACCCCAATAACATGCAAGCTTCCTGGAGGATGCTTTGAATTCTATCTATCTCCTACTTTCAGGATATTGGAATTTGTCCTCAGGGACTCTGTGACTGGATCATTAATTGCGCTGTAGCTTTACATGCACAGTCACATAAAGGCTCTTCTGTAACGCACTGTACAGAACTGCACAAAGACAGACAGTCTCCAAGCTGAGCCACAGCATGGCCTAAAAATGCATTTGATTTGGAATTATAAGTTTACTGCAAATGATAACAGGCAACAAAAATATTGAATGAGAACACAGGCTGATGGGCACAATAGAATAGCTCTCCATTCCTTTCACAATTTAACTACATTCTGCACTTCCAGCCACAGCTCCAAAATGTAACCTAAAGACAAACATCCAAGCTTCTGATTACTCTGTTTCCAGATGCTTTCAAGAACAAATTCTGATGAAGCACTGAAAATAATACAATTCCAGAATTCAATCCCTGGGAGAACATTCAAGAAAAAGCATTATATTTAGATTGCAACCACATACAAAATAAACCAGGCTGCATTGCAGTTAAGTTGTACTAAACACTTGAATACATGACTTAACAATGTTTCCTGCAGTACTAAACCTTCTATACAGTCATACATTTTAAGAATCACCTACCAATTGCTATGGACCTCAAATAGAGCTTTTCAGCATTTTCATACTGGTTCATATCATAGTTATAGAGAGAAGCTAGATGGCCCACTGACAGGGCAACTTCATAATCTTCTTGACCTAGAAGCTGCTCCTTAATCTGAATTGCCTTGATGTGCATTTCTTCTGCTTCCTATGAGGATCAAATTCACAGAGGTCAGTCAGACACCACACAGCACCATAACAGAGGAGGAAAACAAGGCAGGTTCAAAGAAATGTAACTATGGAGAAGCTAAATAGTCGGTAAGTATTTTATAAAAGGAAAGAAGCAAGAAAGCCAAAACTTCTTCAAGCTCTTAGTCAAGTGGATCAGCAAGCAGTACTGCTATTTCTGTCATAAAGATTGCTGTCACCCTGTCTCTGAAGGCATCATGCATCTCAGTGGATTCTTTTTGTGCAAAGCTTTAGGGAGATGAATTATAAAGCACAAGTTTTCCAGTTGTAAAGCTACCAACTGACGTTATGAATCATGGACACTGAAAATCATCATTTGTTGTGACAGATTTATAGATGTCTGCAGATTTTAAGACCTTAAGGTCAGTATAATCTTACCTTAAACTTTCTCATGGACTGATACAGTCTTCCAAGGTTGCCATAGTGTTTTGCTGTTTGTACATTAAACTCCCCAAAGGCTTTTTTAGCTAACTGGAGTGAGGACAGATGTAAGTCATGAGCTTCCTGAAGTAACCTCTGCTCAGTTTCCTTGTTGTGACAGTCTATTGCAATCTCCTCCAAGATAAGTGCTGAATGTGGGAGAGGAAAACCAACGTTACTGTGGCCCAAACACAAAGAGGTGTTAACTGTAGGCAGCAGGAAGCCTTCTATCCAAGACATCTCATCAGACTTTGTGTTTATTACAAACTGTTTTCAAACAGGTTACACCAGATATCAAGCTCCCAACACATTTTTATACTCTCTGGTCCCTCAAAGGTGAAGTTTTAAAGAAAGGATTTATGTATTTTACAAGTGTGTTGGCAGAGGACACTGAGGGCTACAAATATTCCAGAATGACATCCATTTGAGGAAAAAACAACTCAAGTGACATTGCCTCTGTTTGGGAACCAAATAAACACACCTGAGCGAGTGATTTCAAACCATCCCTGTAACACAGTGAAGGGTCCTACCTTTAACTCGCTTTGAAGATGCCAAGAGAAGATGGTCTTCTGGAAGAATGTGAGTTATAATGCCAATAGCACGTTCAGCATGGAATCTGAAAGGTTAAGTAACTCATTCAAGATACATATATACAAGTTAACAGCTGACTGATAAAATATTAGAACACTAATGCAATTAACTGAAGCAGTTAAGTTCTAACTGGACAGTCCGTATCATTTAAGAACATTTTTCTCCCCTTACAGGACTAACTTTGCTGCCAGTGCCTCAAACACTTGTACTCACAGTGCATTGTCAAATTTTCCAGAGCTGTACTGGTGAACATATGAAGAGTAAGCCAAGTCTTCATGAGCTGTAGCTACATGGATGTTTTTACCTCCAAATACCGACTGCCGGATATCAAGAGCTGTCTGAAAGAGTTACAAGAAAAGCATTTAATCTGTCAACACACAACAAACCCCCTCAAATCAATCACACTTGTTAAAAAGGGGGGAAAATAATCAACTGGTTCTGAAATTCTGTGGGCCTATGTACTTGAGACACTGCATATATAAAAGCCACTTTAGAGTCAGGGGGGTAAAAAGCAAAACCCCCCATTTGAGGGTACTTTGGTGTTTTGTTTTTAAAGAAAAAGTATTGCAGTCACTTAATCAACTACTATTTATCTCCACAAATTAATGCATGTGAATTTCAGCAGAAACATTTCAGAGACTATGAGGATTAAGGGAAACTGAAGACACACACTTAGTCCTGCTGCATACCTGATAGATGGCAACAGACTGGCATATATTGTCTACATTGAGCAGGTAAAATCCGTAGTCTAGTAGCGTATCGGAGTATTTGGGGTGCTTGGCTCCGAAATGCTCCCTGTAGGAATATATTTCTATTACAAGCTGAAGCAAGAGAAAAGTAAGTTTGAAAGGTTTGGGTTTTTTTTGGAATGCCACTTACCTGGCAAGGTATACTGCATGCTTTATCAGCTGCTCAGCCTTCTTAAATTCACGTTTTACAACACAAGCCTAAACAGGTTGAAATGAAGCGTGTGAAGAGCTGCACACTCCCAACTCATCTCCTCCAGACACTGGTGCAGTTCCTAACTACTATTTGTAATTTCAAAATATGGTTACTAAAAGACTTCTCAGTTATTGATGAAAAGGTTGACAGATAACATTCATAAACTTCAATGTTATCCTGACTAAAGGGCTGGTGATGTACCTAGTCTAGATCAAAGAGGGAACGGAGCACCTTTCCAGGGAATGCTCTCAGATTAACTTTGTCATGATGTTCATTTGAAGAGCTGAAGCTCAAAACCAACCCTCCCCCAGGTCTGAGACAGAGGTGGACCAATGAAACACAACTAACAAGCCCTAAGGCTCATGAAATGAGCCTGGTTACCCAGCTATATTGGAGGTACCTATGCTCACCCATTCTTGGTAGCAATTTAGTTACAAAAGAAACATGGAAGAGTTTTAATTCACCTTTGAAGCTTGTCGTAAAACATCCACTACTACTTTTACAGGCAGGCCAACTGTGATCTCCTTCATGGCTTCTATGCACCATTTATAAGCCTGTTGAACAAAGTTATCAGCAAAATGAAGCTGGAACTTCACACGGTTGCAATATTAAGAAAAAACATTACTTGGCTGTGAACAGTACAACGGTCATTTACAGCACAAAAGGTAAATACTGTTGATTACTTCTATGTAACGAAACTTGTTCAGAGATGTGTTACAGGACGGACTTAAAAAGCACTCTTACGGTTAATACTGAATGCTTAAGTATTTTATGCTAGCCTAAGGCATGTATTATAACAACTTGCACTGACAAAAAGGGGTATTTTATAAACTTCCAAGTAATCCTCATGATTCCTATTGTGTAGGACAACTTCCTGGTCAGTGTACCTAAGAGCTAAAGGAAAACCACAGTTTATACAGCGGTTACACTTCAGGCAGTTTTTACAAGATAGGTGCAAAGAATTGTTAGCTGTGTTCAGCTGTTCAGTTTTACCTATTAAAATCAGCTTTTTAATGTAGTATTTCCTTTACAGATGGCCAACACATACCACTAATTATCACACATCATTTCTTAATGTTGGTCAAAGTACTCAGAACAGCATATAGAAAAACGTCAGTACATCAAGTATTCCTCAGGCACTGCCGCACAGGGACCAAAAACAAGGCTCAGGAGCTCCAGCTAGAGAGATTAAGTGAATACTGAGCCAGTCATGGAACATCCAAGCAGATTTCATGACCAGTTTTCTGAAGCAAAACAAAACCAAAATCCCACTCACCTCATCGTAGTGGCTCTTGGCAAAGAGCAGTGCACACAGCTCCCCGTAGAGCGCCGCTTTGTTCGCCTGCTGACCATGCTTTGCAAGTTTGTCCATGTAAGACTGAGCCAGTTTGAATGTTTCCTCTCCCAAGTGATATTTACAGTTACCATTTCGAACGTGCAGCAACCTTAGGGATATGTAAAGAGATCATCTAAATGGTGTCTGAATAAACCACCTCAATGTACAGTAGTGCCACGGAGCTGCAATTTGTACTATACATACCATAGAACCAGGCTGTCATCCCAACAAAGCTGCACCGAGTTCAGTACAGCAGAACTATTTACTGTGTAACATTTCAGTACTCCCCAGGCTTTGTCTCTTGCATGGCAAGAGCTGCTACTGCTGGAGATGTCAACTGATTTTACATATTGATGCAGTTCTACATATTCAGAGCTTTAATCACTTTGGTGTGGTGGGTTTGTGTTTTATTTCTCCTAAAACAGTCTTCTCAACACTGATAAAATTCCACTTCCAAACCCCTGTAATATACAGTATTAAAACCCTTCTACCTCCTTTCCACAGTAAACTGAAACAGACACTGGGTAAGCACAGACACTGCTAGCTCTTACACGTCTCTGCACTTCTCCCTCCGACCTCAAGTAGCCCAGCACTTCACAAGGGGGCATTTGTTGTTTAGGGGGGTGTCTTCACAACAGGTTCAGTCACATCTATTTAAGACGATGTCCAGCACTGGCTCAGCACCACCAGAGAAGACTATTTTATTGAACCAGGTCACAGCAACTCTAAAACCCCTCTCCCCCACCTTGGCCCATCTTCCAGCCTGCTGCCTTCCCATTTGAAGGATTAACAGAAGCTTCATGAAAAGCAACAGCCAAATGCACACAATAAAACACAGCACTACTGAAACACACTCTTGTTTCTGGAGAGAAATAACAACTTCAGCTTCTGGCACTGATTTAAAGCAAAAGTAAAGACTTTTTTCTTCTCCCTTAGTGTAGGCTGATGCTTATTTACTTTAAAGAGATACATTCAAAATGTGTGTGTTATCATATTCCAAGCCTAAAGGGCAGAACTCTATTCCCACCCATTGCAGGCTAAGAAGAGACAGCTGTTCCTTCTCCATTGCAAATGCCTGCCATTTAGCACACATGAAATGTTGGTAAATTAACCTCCATTGTCCCTCCTGCAAATCTGTTATTAGACAATGAGTAATAGAGACTGAAAAACATCAGGCAGGCCCTCACAGACTGAAGACAACAGGACACAGGGAGAGAAATACAGAGTGAAGCAGACCTAAAGCTGTACTGCAGAGGCTACAACTCAAAGTGGGAGCTCATACATAGGTACAGCATTTTTTTTCCTTTTATGATACATTATGATAGATCTTCCAACAAACTGGTAAGGGAGAAGAAGGAACAGTGAGGTTTTTGATCAAATGCTTCTCTTCTCTAAACCCATTTCCTGTTAGCATTTGCTCCAAGCAGAGATTTAAGCTATTGTAGCCGAGCCTCCTGCAGTAGCAAAACAACACATTGAAGCTTGCCTTCTGAGTTCAGCCTGCCTCTAACTTAGTCTCTCCCTACACCTTCCTAAGGAAACATATCATGAAACTCAACCGCTAACAGGAAAGGAAATCAAGTTCATGTTTTCACAAGAAGGGAGCACACAGCAGATGTGTGAGCCATGCAAGAGAACATCAAAAGAAATGACAAGACCTTCAAAACCCCCCTGAAACAAGCTACATAAACACCAGCTTTTCAATGAGAAATGCAGCAACACAGCTCAAAAACAGGAAAAAAGCAAGAGCCACATTTTTCCTTAAGTTAGGTCTGAGAACTAAACACGATGTAGAAGTGCACCATGTTCTGAGTCACAGGCAGCAGAACACTGTCTAGCATTCATGCAATGAGAAAGGAATATGAAAAGAACTTGAGAGCAAAACTAAGCAATTACAGTTTCCCTAAAGAAGGAAACTATTTTGTCTACAGCATTCAGTTGGGAGCTGCTATGCAACGTCAAAAATAAGCAGCCCAAATCCCATGTAATGGTATAAGCCAGTAGGGATGGTGCTGCAATTTCGATAAGCGCCTTCGAAAGATAATATCCAGTATCTGGATGCTGCAGTGATAGGGTCTAAAAACAAAGAAATCAACCAAGAAAACCAGGCTAAGCCTAACCCAATCCTCTAGGATAAGCAGAGTTTATGTGATCCAGTTTAGAGTCACAAGAAATCCTTTATTAATCCAAAGGAATTTTAGAAGATAAAGCCAAGAGGAAGAAAAAAATGCCTTAGGACATTTATGCTAATAGCTATGAATCATTTTGCTGTCTGCCATAATAGGTTTTGGGGAATAGCTCCCCCCCCTCCCTTCTCTAAGAGCATACAAACATAGCAAACAATGTTACACAGCAGTTTAGAGAGCCACATATTTGTAATATATATTTTACCCTCTCGTTTAACATCTAATAATGAGGGAAAGGAAACCAAAAGGAGCACACACATGCAGGGAAGTAGTATACAGGCTCATAGAAATCTCAGACCTTCACATTTTCTCAAGTTTCTCCATACAATTTACTACTGCTAGTACAAACAAGCACCAAATTCCATATACATAACACTAAACTTTGCATGTTTCTAAACTTCATTCTATCATTAATGCAATGCATTCGTTTCCCAGAGATCAGACTTTCGAGCTTTTAGAGTAAGAGCAGCCACTTGTTTTTTTAAAGAGTGTCATATTTTTAAAAGCTGGACTTGGACTTATTCTCTGGAAATTCCACCTACCTCTGGTGCAAGCACAGTGGTAAGGACAAGATATTCCACAGCAAGGATTAGACAGCAACAACAAAAAGATTATCTTCCTGCCTCATGACTTCAAAGCTGAGTATAATGACCGTGCTCTCCCAAAAGAAGAGTGTTCTAAATTCCTTCTATTATCATTTCCAAATAAATGATGCTGTTATTTGACTGTTTGGGAGAGGCCTGAAAATAAAGCAGTGTCTCCTCATTCACAGTGCTGCCCAGAGGGACTTGACATTACAAGGCCAGCCATCAGCTGCTCAAACTGAATTAGCATCCCCAGTTCATCCTAATATCAGATGGTTTTTCCTAGCACAAAGTGAAAATCATCACCCCACAGCCGGGTGGGCTGTACACAGCTGTCCAACAGAGTCACCTTTTTGACTTCATTTACCTTCTCCTCATTCCCCCCGCCCCATTTGGAGAAAGGGAGGGAGTTCATTTTTCAGGCACCTTCTCCAGCTTGTCAAGCAGCCTGATACAACTTTTAGATTAATTAGAGAATGAAAGACTGAGTACTAACAGTGCTACTATATGTATCATCCCCCAGCTCTAGGAAGGTGTGCATGTGCCCAGTCTTTCCCTGGCATCATCTTATTTCTGGAAGAAGACCCAGTGGTAGCTGGCAGGGCAGAACAAGGCAGAGCAGCAGCCACTGTCAAGGCCCTCTGGTTGGCACATAAAATAAGTAGCTACTGGCAAAGCCTATTTATCCTTCATATTTGTCCAATCATAACACGATGCATGGATTTTCTTTTTGAGCAGCTTCCCAAAACAAGCTTTGCCCTATATTCAGATAAATACAGTACATACTTTGTTGCTCATTACAACAGCTAAAAAGAAATAATCCTATTTTAACTAGGCTCACTAGCACACACCTATTCAAACATATACCTGGAGCATGCAAAAGAGGTCAGTCATGGTGTTAGCAACAAAAACAAGCCAGCTACTTACTGCTGGCTGCAGCAGGGCAGCACACACTGCGGTACAACTAAAAACTCAATGACAATTTGAGGCCTCTGTGAATGGAAGCAGAAGCTCCAGGGACAAGACAACAGCCTTAAGAAACAAGGTACAAATGCCAAACACCTCCAAAAAGCAAAAATTCTTTTCCAAATGTTTAAGCTGTGGCTAAAGGCGTCCACAAGAACTGGACATTTAAACATCTACCCCATCACACAGTTCAGTAGCACAGTTATAGAGCAAGAGAACTCACTGGATCTGCAATTAGGAAAGGTGTGGTTTTCTTTTATTTCTGTCTCAACTGTGTTTACATCACTTCTGTTTGGATTTGCCAAATTCTCCTTGTAGTAAACATAATTTCAGCAAACACCAACACATAACACTCCTTCATATGCAACCCCCCTTGAAAACACCAAGGTGCTGGACCACTCTCACCACCCAGCATCTGTTACCCATGACACATTAAGCAGAAAGGCAAAATGGCTTTATTTTTTCACCCCCACTGAACTGTGCTGGCAGTTTACAATCAGAAAACCAAGGGATTAGCACAAAATAAGCACCTCCTGAGCTTCAGCTCTAGCCAGGAAAGTATTCTAGTGCAGCAGAATACTAAAGAGAACACCTGAAGCTTGATGGCTCCAAAGCCATATTAATGGCTTTGTCCAAAGACAAAGACATCTTTGGACAATTAATGTCCAAAGACATATTAATGTGTATTTCACAGTAAGATATACATGAATTAAAGGTGAACTCACCTTACACAGCATTCTACGGCACGAAACCAGTGAAGGATTTCATCGTGAAGGGTGCATAACTGAAGGCAGGAGAGAAATACCTTCTCAGCATCACTGTACCAGCCTGCATCTGATAGGAACCCCCCTGGAAAAAAAAAAAAACAAAACAACAATATAAATCAAGAAAAAAGAGAAATCTGAACAGCAAAACACCTTTTTAAGAGAAAAAGGGGTTGCCCAAGTCTTGTAAGGAAACATTACTTATTCCACAGAACTGCATATATGTAAGAATCCTGTCAATGTTAAACCCTCCAGTCATGAATTGAAAAGGATAAAATGTAAGAGTAGAAGAATTCTCCTTCAGTTGGAAATGACTTTTTGGTATTATACAGCCTTCCTACAGTTTTCTGTCAAGAAATATTTACCAATACTAAAGTTATTCAAAGTCTTAATGTTAAGACTTCACATCAGCAAACAAATTTTAAATCTAAAACATCTGAAATAACAAACATGAGCCTAAATATTCTTAGATATAAAAATCCAAGACATTTTTCTTAAGACACCAAGTAGTTTTCTAAAAATGACATTCCAAAACCACGTGTGCTCTTTAAAAGGAAGCCACAGACATTAACAGGAAAAAAGATAAGCATTAGCTTAACTGAAGCTTGCATGAAAGAAAGGATCACACTTTAAACAGCCTATCATCACCAGTTACCTAAAACAAAACCAATCTGGATTGCTTTCTCTTTTACAGCAGAATCCGATTCTGCAATGTAGGAGCACCGTCTACTGAAAGAATAGGCCAGTACAGAAGCAACTTTTACTCCATGGTCCATCAAAGCCTGGAAGCAGTGATGAAGCAGATGCCTGAAACAAAAGAAAACAGAATTTGATTACAGACAAAGTTTTTAAAGCATTGCAGCCAGTTGGCTCTTGAGTGCCATGAATTCAAATGAACAGTGATTCAGAGAAATAACTCCAACCCTCTCTCAAACCAAAACCAGATGAATACAAGCATAGTTGTCAATCTCAAGGCTAATGGACTACAGTTGTTGGATTACCCAACAAATAAAGTGAGCGTACACGACGTTCTTTACTAGGACACCCTCCACTATAAGCAAAACACAAGCTAACCACACAATACTAAAACTGGAAAACAACATTTTCAGCTAAAGCTTCGTGGGGGGAAGCCTCAAATCCACCCTCACCCCACAAGTCCCACTGAAATTGCAAACAGACTAGCAATGACGAACCCATGAACATCACACACACACACACAATGGGAAGGAGGCATGTCTAACAACTCAAAAATTATTCCAGTTACAAAGAATGTCAAGTTCTGAGCATAACACTACAAATTCAAATACTGAACGACAGGAAAACTCTTTAAACTGGGGCGATTCCATCAGCTTGATAACCCTTCACTTAGGATTTGGTACAACAGCTAACAAGTACTTCGGCACTGCTCAGGACTGGCTGAGTATTGATCAGTTGGTGGTGAGCAACCGGCATCTTTATGCATTGCTTGTTTTTCTTGTTTGTGCTTTTTTCCTCTGTTGTTTTCTTCCCCCCTCCCTCCCCTTTTAACAAAAATTTATTATTAAATTAACTTTATGTCAACCCACGAGTTTTCACACTGTAACCCTTTCAATTCTCTCCCCATCCCACTGGTGGGTGAGTGAGCAGCTGTGTGGCTCTCAGCTGCCTACCAGGGTTAAACCATGGCACAGCAACAACAAAGAAAGCACTCTGGGGACCAAGTACCACAGATGACTTCACACATTTACATAGAGGTTCTAATTGTTTTATTTTTTGGAACAGAGAGAGAGAAAGACTTTGTAAGTTAAAAGCTCATCTGTAAATCTAAAGAAATATTCTTATGGTTAACAGACGGGCTAGTAAGACCAAGAAAATTAGAGATCTTCCGAATGCAAAACCTAGATCAAGAAAGAGCTGAAATAAGATTTATCAGTATATACAGATACTTACCTTTTATCTAAAGCTCGAAGCACCTTTGCAAAAACTTCTAGTTCACAAAATTCACTACCCAGCTGACATAAGCGGCCCTGCTGGTAAAGCTGAAAGAAAAAGACAAATACATTTTACAGTTTAAGAGTGAGTTCTTTCTACAGTTTAATAGAATCATAGAATCGTTAGGGTTGGAAAGGACCTTAAGATCATCTAGTTCCAACCCCCCTGCCGTGGGCAGGGACACCTCACACTAAACCATGTCATGCAAGCCTCTGTCCAACCTGTACTTGACCACCACCAGGGATGGAGCATTCAAAACTTTCCTGGACAACCCATCCCAGTGCCTCACCGCCCTTACAGTAAATAATTTCTTCCTTATATCCAATCTAAACTTCCCCTGTTTAAGTTTGAACCCGTTACCCCTTGTCCTGTCACTACAGTCCCTAATGAATAGTCCATCCTCGGCATCCCTATAGCCCCCCTTCAGATACTGGAAGGCTGCTATGAGGTCTCCACGCAGCCTTATCTTCTCCAGGCTGAACAGCCCCAACTTCCTCAGCCTGTCTTCATACAGGAGGTGCTCCAGCCCCTGATCATCCTCGTGGCCTCCTCTGGACTTGTTCCAACAGTTCCATGTCCTTTTTATGTTAAGGACACCAGAACTGCACACAATGCTCCAGGTGAGGTCTCACAAGAGCAGAGTAGAGGGGCAGGATCACCTCCTTCGACCTGCTGGTCACGCTCCTTTTGATGCGGCCCAGGATACGGTTGGTTTCTGGGCTGCAAGTGCACACTGAAGCTGGCTCATGTTCATTTCCTCATTGGCCAACACCCCCAAGTCCTTCTCTGCAGAGCTGCTCTGAATCTCTTTTCTGCCCAACCTGTAGCTGTGCCTGGGATTGCTCCGACCCAGGTGTAGGACCTTGCACTTGGCATGGTTAACCTTCATGAGGTTGGCATCAGCCCACCTCACAAGCGTGTCAAGGTCCCTCTGGATGGCATTCCTTCCCTCCAGCTATCAACCCAACCACACAGCTCGGTGTCATCGGCAAACTTGCTGAGGGTGCACTCAATCCCACTGTCCATGGCAGGGACGAAGATGTAAAACAAGACCGGTCCCAACACCGATCCCTGAGGGACCCCACTCGTTACTGGTCTCCATCCAGACACTGAGCCATTGACCACAACTCTTTGTGTGTGGCCATCCAGGCAGTTCTTTATCCACCGAGTGGTCCATCCATCGAATTGATGTCTCTCCAATTTAGAGACAAGGATGTCGTGTGGGACAGTGTCGAACGCTTTGCACAAGTCCAGGTAGATGACACCAACTGCTCTACCCCAGTCCATCAGTTCCATAGCCCCATCATAGTAAAGACTTATGATGAAATCCAGATTTCAAAGTCTTGAAATACAGCAGACGTGTATTTGCTGTATTTCAAGTTTTGCTGTGGCTCGCAGACAGTGGAAGTAACAGTCCCGCTTTCTCCATACAGGAGCACAACTTTGATGTTTAAACACTGAGCACACAAGCTATTATAGCTCCATAGGCAGTTTCAAGGGGGGGGGGAGAGGGTTATCTATGAATGTATTTAAGTGTCTATGTTCACCTCCATCATCAAAACAGTAGATGACATACACTAGAAAGCCAAGATAAAAATCAAGAAACCTCTAAAGTCAGCAAAAAATACAACAAACAGCTCGTTTCATACCAAGTTCTTTGGAGACATTTTAAAATTACATAGAATCTAGCATACAGGGGTACAAATAGATTTTTTTTTTGTATATGTGTGTGTCTGTATGTACGTAAATTCCAAAAACACAAGTTCTACAAGGAGTGAATCACGAATACCCAGAGCTAAAGCCAGACATGCGCCCACACCCATTAATACCTGAGCTCACACACATAAAGCCTGCCTCAGTAAATAGGAGAACTCAAGTGAATCTGTGCATCCATTTACTAAAAGCAGTGGCTAGTTTTATGCCCAAGCTGATTTGTGTCTACAGATAAGCAAATATATCAGTTGACTTACTCATAAAAAACAAACTGTGGAGACAGTTCTTTATGCAAAGCACAGTTAACTTGCAGAACTATCTGCCACATTATGCTATAAATACTGAGAATTTACCTAGGTACAAAAGCAACAGTACAAATATATGTCAAAAATCCACTGTAGGCTAGTAATTCCTGATGTCTTGAAGCCCCTGAACCACAAATGACTGCAAGTGGGGTATGTAACTGAAGGTGGTTCCACTATACACCTGCCATAGTTATGCATGGCATCACCAGCCACTGCTAGAGGTACAGTCCTGGGTCATACAGGAATGGTGCAGTACAACTGTTATTTTAGCCGTTCTAGTAAAAAAAGCCCACAAACATCACACACACCCTTTTAAAATTCAAAAAGAGGAATAAAAGGGAGAAGCTGGTAGCTCACGTCTCTCAGACACTTCTCTATGAGATCCTTTTGTGTTCCTCTGTGGTATGTGCTACATGATGCTACATGAGAAGTACGGCTACCCTTATGTAACCAAAGGTAAGGCCAAGAGAACACATTAGAGACGCTCAATTATAAACATATTAACTGAGAGGAATATTAACACTTTCAGTATTAATAATTTATAATAAAACATTTTATTGTTGAGGATCTTGTGGCTGGTTCACCTTTTTCTCCAACGAAATTGGAAGCAGATGAATTGGGTATTCAACACACAGCATGTGAGAAAATCTCCTCCAGCCAGAAACTTAGTTTTGGTCAACTCTTACAAAAGCACATGACACTGATTCTACAGCACAGCAAGTTTGTTATTTTAACAACAGATCCTACAAAAAAGACTTTAAAAATACTGTGACCTAATAATGTCAATTGCCAGAAATGAATGTTTTCCTTTCAGTGCCCTATTTTGCTGGGAAGAGGAAAAAAAAAAGGAAGTTTTTCAAAAAAACAGTGCAAGTTTGCATGCAAAGTTACTATTCAGATAAAACAGTGCCATGTCCCTATACTTCAAAGGGATCAGTTTCTTCTGAAGCCATATTCTCTCTGGCAGCAAAAGAACATCCAGTCTAGTGTATTTAAAAACTACAGGCATGGTTAAGTGTCCTCATTTTCTTCAGCACAGCTGTCTAACGGTAACTGTTCTATAAAACCTAGGACATATTTTCCACAGTCAAAAAGATGATTAAATCCTGCCTGGCATTCCATGCCCAAAACATCAATAATTGATGAGATCATTTCTGGAAGAAAATAAGACTCAACCTAAGCTATTTTACCAGGACTTAGGACAACTGGAAGTACTATCGCAGGTTCAACAATTAGGCTTTCAATCAAGTAAATCATCATTTCCTCTTATCACCTCACAGCACTAACTAAAAATCCCAGAGGTTACTCTGATACTAGTTTACCAAATAGTAACTGCAGTAAAAGGTTTCAGAATGAATGTATTTATGAGGTTACATAACGTTATGTGCACACTGCTACATGTGATCCTTAAATTGCTAACAAATAAATGCCCTGGCTGGGTGGGAAGGAGGGGAAGGTCCCAAACTACAGGCTCAATTTCGACACATCAATTATTTTCATGTAAAATTTGCCTTATGGCCCAAAGGTCCAAGCCTGCTATCTGCACATATCCCAGTTCAAAGATAACCACTTGCACTATTCTGGCATACAAAAATCCTAACCTACTTTTCACTGGTACAACCAGAAATACAGTAGCCCTGGGACACTTACCATGCTATTCACCCCTTCCCTTGACACACTGGCAAGCATTTCTAAGGAACTAACTCAGCTTGAAGTCTCTTGAAACCACTGGAGATGTTACAGCAATGTTTTCAAGCAAAATATGGCACGGAAATAGCGAGTATACGTCAAACTGTGAAGCAATTCCAGGAGATGCAGCAACACTCATTTGTTCATTGAGAAGCAGTTGCAAGCACTGAGGAAAACAGATCTCTCGTTAAAGCTCTAGAGAGACAAAATTCCTGACCACAAGCCTTGCTACAGAACATGAAAAACAAAACAAAATAGTGATTAAAGAAAAACATGTCCTGACAAGAATGGCAGAGGTTTGGACTTCTGAAGAACTATTTTTTGGGGGAGAAACAGATGCCTTTTAGACACAAAATTAACCTATTTGGAGCTTATGAGATTCATTTTTCTTTAACTATGGAAAAATGAATAAAAGCCTTCTAATTTTGTCAGCTCACCCTGACACATTAATTCTGGCACTCAAGACAGGAACCAAGGGATAAATTTAATATACAGGCTTATTACATACATGCACAATCAAGCTGTTTTGCATAGAGTGAGAGAAAACCACTGCGTTTCTCCTCCAGGATCTGAGGCTTAGTATTTGACTAGTAACACATCCACCTAAACATGCAAAGCTGCATATAGTGTTATCCCCAATCAAGTATATTAATAATGCCAACCTGCAATTTATCTATTATTATATCATCACACGTATAATTCTAACAAAGTACTTGTCAGATTTCTCTCTCTGGAGAGATTAAGCTGAGCTCAAACTGCATCCTAGCAAACCCCTGGAAATAAAAGGCAAAGATGTGTTAAACTGCGAGCAAAAGCAAACCCTAACACAAAGAAAAGGTAACAGGACAGTCGTAGCACCAGGATTCTGGGCTGTTTCACTGTGCACAAGAGAAAAGACTTTCCAAACCTTAGGAAAAATATTAATAGTAATTTCTTAAAGCAGCTGGAGGTTAATTCTAACCAGTTGTAGAATGACCCTCAAGAAGAGGAACTGTAGCATACACAACTTGAAAAATATGTTCCTGTTGCTCCAGTCTGGAAGAAATAATATGGAGATTTCAGTAAGAATGAAAGATACAAGGAATTCCAAGTAGCTCCCAGCATGTTTAGTCATATCTAATTCTAATGGGGAATTTTATGCCAAATTCAGGAAGGACTGTATACATAATCAACAAACATCAGTATCTGGGAAAAGAGGCTTGGCTGTAAACACAATCTTCTTCCCCTACTCAACAAGGAAGGAAAAAGTTTCCCCAAGAGTCAACAGTGGAATGAATCAATCTGTTGACAAATGACTCTATAGATGGGGTGTGGGGGAACAGCCTTAGAAAATAATCAGA